CTTAAAGCCCAGCTGGGTAACCCATGGCACGTTTGTGGGCTCCCCCACTTTACTCCTTTGGGTGGTTTCAGAAATGTAGCCCCTTTGAAATCTGCCACAGAACCTGGGCCCAATTCCCCTAAAAGGGAAGGAGATGGGGCCAAACCCAAAGCCATCCCCTGGGTATGAGTCTGAGGTCCAACCACCTTCCTTCCAGTTACAGGAATAGCTGTAACTTTTCTCCAGCCCCTCCACCTTGATTCCAAGTCATTTCTCCCCGGCCTTCCATGTGTTCCAGGCCAGGGAGGAGAGCCTGAACATGGGTGCCCTCTGAGTCCCCTAGGCCTAGGTGCTGAGGGCAGAAAGGATGGAGTGTCAGGGAGCGGTAGGGATGTCACAGCAGTTCTGCTCGGAGTCCACTTCTGCTTTCAGCACTGGCTATGCTCTCCTTGCCCCACCCCAGACGGAAATGCTAACCCACCACCCCAACCCAGACCTGAAAGGGAACCAGCCTTGGCCTGCGAAACCCTCAGCCCCGGGGCTGACATCAGCATGCTCACTTCCTTCTTTTGAAAAATACTATTAAGTCTAGAGATGAGCCAGGCTGCTTACAGGTAAGAGGGGAAGCCATTATTTTACCTATGTGAATCAGAAAGGGCAAGTGCCCTTCTCAGGATCACACAGTGAGTTATGCACAGCCAGGTCTGGGATGCAGGGCTTCTGCTCCCCAGCTCCACGATGCCTTTTCACAGTTTTCCCTCAAGCTGAGAGAGGTGAATTTGAAAGGAGCTTTTTCAATTCCTGATTTTATCAGTGAAGGAGTTGAGGCCCAGTGGGGACTGGAGGGTGGTCTGGGACAGATGGAGTCGCTCAGGATCAGGGCTGGGAGAGGACACAGGCCCAGCTCCCACAGCTTCCACCCAGGTCCCTGCTTGCCTCTGCTCCTTCACACGTAGGAAAGAATCCGTCTCAGGCTTGTCTCTTTTTCCATCTCTATCCGGTCTAGATGCAGGAAGGTCCTTTCTGAAGTCGGCCTCCATCTCCCCTCTTACAGCGTGAACCTCCTCTTCCTAATAGGTTTCAGGGGATCAGCCAAAGAAGGCTTCTAGAGAAGCCATTTTCTTGGTTAGGTGGCTTAAGAAGAAACGGTAGAACCTGAACCTGCAAGCAGATACCCTCCCAGAGAAGTCAGGATAATATTAGTAGAAGAGGGCAGCTTAGGCTTCTTGACAGAGACTTTGTCTCTCAGCTTATTTGTACTGATATTTGTGTGTTCATTTGCATACTCATTGGCAAATTTAATTTGCATGGAGTCAGGCTGGCTGGCCTCCAGGTATGAATTCCCTACATATTTATGGTTTCCCAGAGAAAGTGAGAGAGAGGTAAACCCAGAGAAACTGACTGTAAAGGAAAACTGGTCCCACATAACCCCTGAATCCAGCTGGGGGACATCTGTGAGGTGGTGCTTGCCTGACAGTGGGCAAGGGAACTGAGCAAGGACCCTCAGGGGCTAGTGTTCCCCCTCCTGGCTCCCCCAACATCTGCAGCCTCATATTTATGGTTTCCCAGAGAAAGTGAGAGAGAGGTAAACCCAGAGAAACTGACTGTAAAGGAAAACTGGTCCCACATAACCCCTGAATCCAGCTGGGGGACATCTGTGAGGTGGTGCTTGCCTGACAGTGGGCAAGGGAACTGAGCAAGGACCCTCAGGGGCTAGTGTTCCCCCTCCTGGCTCCCCCAACATCTGCAGCCCTGCCTCCTACACTTATGTGGATCCAGGAGCCGCAGAAGGTGGGGCACAGGGGGACATGGGTAGGAGGAGGAAGAATATGGGGAGATTCTAGTCCCTCCCACTTAGAGATGCAGTCGCCATGGTGACTGAGGACCAGTGAGGCGGGATGGGGTTGGGGATGCGGGGCGGGGGTGTGGCAGGGACGAAGGCACTGGGGGACAGGAACGCCTGGCATTCCAGGGGGAATCGCAGCAACAGCTCTGAGTTCCAGGTAAGGAGCAGGAGAGCTGACAGTTCTCAAAGGAGGGGGCGGGCCATTGTCTGGCGCTGGCTCTGCCCTGAGGAGGGGGCAGACAGAGGGGGTTGGGCCATTGTGTGCTGTACTCAGCTCAGTCTTCCAGCACTGGTCAGACTGGAGGCAGAAACCTAGGAGTCGCTGGGTAAGGGGCTAGGGGGGATTGGGTTGGGTGGGGAGATTGAGGGGGTGGGAAGAGATAGGGAGATGCTGGTGGAGTAGAAGCTTGGAGACATCCCTAGTACCTTACACACACTTAAATATTAGTTGATTTGACTTACTTGTGATCATAAAAAGGGAGCAATGAGGGACAGGGCAGGTGGGGCTGAGAAAGGGAGCCAGGAAGCTGATGCCGCCCAGCACCTGCTCTTCTGGGGCTGCCCCTGAGGGTTGCAGGAGGCGAGGGGGGGAGAAACGGCAACTTCTGGGTCATTGGCAAAGCCAAGAGTGGCTTCTCTCCTTGCTCCAGGAGCCCCTCCATCAGTGCGGTGTCCATTCTCCCTAGGGATGCGGATGAGCTGGAGCCCCTTGGGTGAGCATGAGGCAGGGGGACGAGCAATGTATCCATCCCACCCCCACGTCTAGATCTCTACCCTGGCAGGAAGGGGCTGCTGTTTGATGTGGTCTACGGACTGTGGGGAGGAGTCCGCAGAGGAGCTGGACCCTGAGGTGGGGTGGGGGCAGTGATGGGGTTGAATTCAGCATTATCATCATGGGGGGTGGGTCCCCCAGGCTGGGCTCCAGGGCTTGGAGAGAAGAGAATGGGGAAACCCCCACAGTGGGGCCATGAAATGGCATGGCCCCTATGGCCTGGTTCCTGGACACCCCACCGCCCCACCTAAATGGAATTCAACCCCAGTCAAGACCCTTCCCTCTCCCTGGCCTTGGTTTCCTCATTTGTACAGCGAGAGAAGAGGTGCGACCCTGTTAGCTTTGAGCTTCCTTGATGCTTTCAGAAGGACCTGTTACATTGCTTTCATCTGCTATGCCTGTTTCCAGGGTCCACTGCAAAGTGAAAATGTGTGGCCCCTAATTCAAAAATGGTTAAGACTTTCAAGATGGCAGCAGTTGAGCATTAGACCAAGTGTGGGCCCTTCTGTGTGGGGCCGTGGTGGCTGTTAGATCATGTGCCTGTGACACCAGTCCAGGCATCTCTGCCAGTGGCTCAAGGGAGATGGCAGTGCAACTTTGGATCAGACTTGAGAGGCTCTGGGGCAAGAGGGACAGTAGCAGGGGCAACATCAGGCTCTTCCATGGAACCTGACCAGGAAATGGGGAGGTACCTGTGCCTGATGGCCTTTCTTTGGAGAGGTTTCTATTCCCTCTTGAGTCAAGAATCTCCCCCGAGATACTGTTCTTAGCCCAGAGGAGTTAGTGTCCCACCACCACCCTCCACACCTGCCCTCTCCATCCAAGTGGCTCAGAGTGAGTTTCCTGGATGGGGCAGGAGTGGGGACTACAGGAGTAGGACTCGAGAGAGACTGTGTAGCTCAGGGGTTAGCTTTTGAATGGGGCAGGTCTGAGTTTAACTTGGCTTCTAGCTGTGTAACCTCGCGGAGCCTCACTTCCCTTATCTGTAAAACGGAATTATGGTGGTATCTATCTACTAAAGAAGCCTGATAATGCAAACTTCATATTGTCTGGAGGAGCTGGGGCAAAGGAGACTTGGGCCAGGAGGAGAATTCCTGGGTCTCTGGAGAAGGTGGAACTAGGAGCAGGGCATTGAATCTGACACTTCCGGAGAGACTAGAACTGGACACGGGGCTGGAACTTTCTCCCCCACCGTACCTTCCATTAGAACTTCTCCCAGAGGCCTAGACGATCTGATCTGTTCAAGCAGAGGCCCGGGGCAGGGTAGGTTCCCAAATCTGAGCTGGGGGTTGGCAGACACAGAAGGTGGGGAATTTTCCCTTGATTGTGAGAGTTCAGAAGACTTTCTCTGGGTGGTTTGGCCATGGCTTCTCCCAAAGACCTGACAACTGGCTTCCGTGAAAGTCTGGGCGCATCTTAGTAAGTCTGAACAGAAACGGTTGTCAGGAGGGGTCTGGCTCAGACCAGCGGCCCAGGGACATTGAGGGACAATGGGAGTGGAGGGAGAAGGAAAGAAGGCTGAGCAGGGTCTGACTGGGAATTCTTCTGAGGAGTAGCCTGGGCGGCGGTAACATCACCGTGTAGGCTGGTGCTGTGATGAGGCAGGTGGAAGGACTGCAGGAAGGAAGGACTTCTGGACTGTGAGGAATGCGTGCCTGAGAAGGAGGTGGGTTCCTTACTGGAGTCAATTAGCCCTGGGGTGGCTGTGCTCTTTAACCAGCTGTCAGCTGGTCTTGGGCTGAGTGGGCAGGAAAGTACCCATTTTACAGGTCATGGGGCCCTTAATGCTAGGTGCCTCATTAACCCTGCGTTATAAGTTTCCCCCCTGGAGCCTGCAGGGAGGGGTAAGCAGCCACTATTGGGGGCTGGGTGCCTCAGCAGTATGTTCCAGAAGTATGAGCTCAGATGGGAAATTTTCTGGGCCTCCCACTGTCCTGATGCTGCCCTAAGAGTGAGGGAGATTAGACTACAGGAGGGACTTCCTTGGCAGAACCATGGATAAGAGCCTAATGCAATTGTTTTATTTTTTTAAGACTATAACCCAGTTGGAAGTGGGAGGTGTGAAGGTTAGACCACTGCAGGGACTTCCCAGTAGATAGGAGTGGAAAGAGCCCAGCTTGTGAGTACGTGAAAAGAGGAATATAAAAGACCGTGTCATATCCTCTATCTGGGAAATCTTGAGCAAGAGGAGAAACCACTGCTTGGCAGGTTAGACTGGATGTGACGTGACCAAGGGACAGAGGAATGGCTGAAATGACCTAGAAACTTTCTAGCCTTTTAAACTTTCTGGATAGACGGAGGTGAGAGGAGAGGGAAAGAAAGAGGTGTGTCTTCTTTTATTCCCCTCCCAATCCACCAACTTCCGCCCAAGCCAAGGATTTGTCACAACTGGAGAGGTGGAAATTCTGGTTTCCCTTGCCCAGAGCTCTCAGTGCTGTCGTTAGCACTATGGGTACCTGGAGGGCTGCACTCCTGGCTCAGCCAGGCTGAGCCTTCCGTCCTCTGCCTCTTGGGCCTGGGAACCCCCCTTCTTCTTTCTCTTGGATGGCACCTCCACCCAAGAGCCGGGACACCTGGGTTCTGCACTGTGGCTGGCTCCAGGGTATGTGAGATGAGATGGGTGACTGGGGGTTGGCAGGCCTGGGGGAAGGTGGTGCAGAGACCCAGAAAGATAGAAAACAGAAGCAGAGAGACCAGAGAGCGGGGGCATCTGCAGAGGCTGGGAGACACTTCCCTGGCAATGCTGGTAGCCAGGTGGCCTCTCACCACCCTGCAGTAAGAGGGCCAGATAGGCCTGAGCACCAAAGGCCTGAGCCTAGCTGGGGCTGGGAGAGAGGTCAGAGCAGGCTGATTCAGACCTGGTTGTCCCATTTGGGTCATCACAGGGCAGGGGTGAGTATGAGGACAGGGTATCAGCCAATTTCAAAGTGCCGGGAGAGTCGGCTCACAGGGGTCTATATTTTGAGTGCAGGAATCTGCTCCCCAGGAAGTGGCTGCCTGGGCCCAGCAATGGTTTGGGCTCTGAGCAATGGGAGCAGGGAAGGCAAAGGGCAGATAACATGAGGGACTTCCCGGAGAGTAAGGAGAACAAAGCAGAGCAGGGCTGCTGGTGGCAAGAGATGAGAAGGGCAGGATGAGGAGCAGTGGGGCTCCTGCCAGAGGGGAGAGTGAGGCAGCAGGCTGAGGTCCATAAGAGTGATGGAAGTGAGACTGAGGCCCTCTGGGGAGGAAACTGTCCCCTCCCCAGCACCCCCACCCCTATACACACTTCTGCTGCTTGGGGCTCTCCGATTGGCCCCTGGCGGGGATGTGGTGAGGACTGCTCACCCAGAGAGTGCCCGGGTGCCTGTTTCCCCAGAGCCATCTGGTGACGGCCTCTGGCTGAGCATGGCCCTTCTCACCCTGGGCCTGGACCCATGGAGCCTCCTGGGCCTTTTCCTCCTCCAGCTGTTTCTGCTGCCAGCATCTCCGACTGCAGCGGGTGGGCAGGGGCCCCTGCCCAGGGTCAAATACTGTGCAGGTAAGTATCTGATGGCCAGGAAGAGTGGGGATTGCAGGACTGAGCTGGAGGGGCGTGGAGGAAGGAGAGGGTGCTCAGAGGAAGGGGGAAGGAAGTAGGGCGTGGAGAAACAGGGAGTGTGCCAGGGTGGGGGAGAGGGTCTCAGGGAGAGCCAGCCAGAAAGAGAGATTCAGACTGAGGGAGAGAGAGTAGTGAAACCCACTCGGGGCAGACTGAAGACAGGAAAGAGAGGGGCCAGGGCGCTGGGGGCACCACTCTTCTTGATTCTCCAAAGTTGGCAATTTTTCTTTCCCTCCTTAAATGTCACTGTCATCAAGATGAGCACCCCAACCCCCTAACTGCTTTCATGCTCCCATGTGCCCCCAAAGCCGGGGCCCATGCTAGAAGGTCATCTGTGGGACGTGGCCACCCCAGACACACCAAGCCCATGCCAACAACACAGATTCTGCTGGTCCACACCTTGTCCAGCACCATGTGCACCAGGAATACAAGAATTAGGGCAGCCTGGCTGGGGTACAGGCCCTGGGACCCTGTAAGCCCAGCCTGGCTGTTTTCTTTTTTTTTCCTTTGGTATCATTAATATACAATTACATGAGCAACATGTGGTTACTGGATTCCCCCCATTATCAAGTCCCCACCACATACCCCATTACAGTCACTGTCCATCAGCTTAGTTAAGTTGCCATAGAGTCACTACTTGTCTTCTCTGTGCTATACTGCCTTCCCCGTGTCCCCCACCCCATGTTATGTGTGCTAATTATAGTGCCCCTTATTCCCCTTATCCCTCCCTTCCCATCCAGCCTCCCCAGTCCCTTTCCCTTTGGTAACCATTAGTCCATTCTTGGGTTCTGTGAGTCTGCTGCTGTTTTGTTCCTTCAGTTTTTGCTTTGTTCTTATACTCCGCAGATGAGTGAAATCATTTGGTACTTGTCTTTCTCCGTCTGGCTTATTTCACTGAGCATAATACCCTCTAGCTCCACCCATGTTGTTGCAAATGGTAGGATTTGTTCTCTTCTTATGGCTGAATAATATTCCATTGTGTATATGTACCACATCTTCTTTAACCATTCATCTACTCATGGACACTTAGGTTGCTTCCATTTCTTGGCTATTGTAAATAGTGCTATGATAAACATAGGGGTGCATATGTCTTTTTGAAACTGGGCTCCTGTATTCTTAGGGTAAATTCCTAGGAATAGAATTCCTGAGTCAAATGGTATTTCTATTTTGAATTTTTTGAGGAACCTCCATACTGCTTTCCACAATGGCTGAACTAATTTACATTCCCACCAGCAGTGTAGGAGGGTTCCCCTTTCTCCGCATCCTCGCCAACATTTGTTGTTTGTCTTTTGGATGGTGGCCATCCTAACTGATGTGAGGTGTTATCTCAATGTGATTTTAATTTGCATTTCTCTGATGATTAGCGATGTGGAGCATCTTTTCATGTGCCTGTTGGCCATCTGAATTTCTTCTTTGGAGAAGCGTCTGTTCAGCTCCTCTGCCCATTTTTTAACTGGATTAGTTGCTTTTTGTTTGTTGAGGTGCAGAACTCTTTGTATATTTTGGGTGTCAACCCCTTATTGGATCTGTCATTTATGAATATATTCTCCCATACTGTAGGATGCCTTTTTGTTCTACTGATGGTGTCCTTTGCTGTACAGAAGCTTTGAGTTTGATATAGTCCCACTTGTTCATTTTTGCTTTTGTTTCCCTTGCCCAGGGAGATATGTTCATGAAGAAGTTATTCATGTTTATATTCAAGAGAGTTTTGCCTATGTTTTCTTCTAAGAGTTTTATGGTTTCGTGACTTACATTCAGGTCTTTGATCCATTTTGAGTTTACTTTTGTGAATGGAGTTAGACAGTAATCTAGTTTCATTTTCTTACATGTAGCTGTCCAGTTTTGCCAATACCAGCTGTTGAAGAGGCTGTCATTTCCCCATTGTATATCCATGGCTCCTATATGGACCGTATATGCTTGGGTTTATATCTGGGCTCTTTATTCTGTTCCACTGGTCTGTGGCTCTGTTCTTGTGCCAGTACCAAATTGTCTTGATTACTATGGCTTTGTAGTAGAGCTTGAAGTTAGGAAGCGACATCACCCCTGCTTTATTCTTCCTTCTCAGAATTGCTTTGGCTGTTTGGGGTCTTTTGTGGTTCCATCTGAATTTTAGAACTGTTTGTTCCAGTTCATTGAAGAATGCCATCAGTATTTTGATAGGGATTGCATTGAATCTGTAGATTGCTTTAGGCAGGATGGCCATTTTGACAATATTAACTCTTCCTACCCAAGAGTGTGGGATGAATTTCCATTTATTAGTGTCCTCTTTAATTTCTCTTATTGGCTGGTTTCTTAAGGAGGCTGGAGGGGGGGCTACTGGTCTCCTCACCTCCAGGGAGAAGATTCAGGGAAGGACATGGGCCCTGTAAGAGTTGCAGAGGCAGGTCTCCTAGATACGGCTTTGCCTTTAGCAACTTTCTGGGGCAACCTGGTAAAGGAAATGCACACTGCCCATTACTGGAAGCCTCCTCGGTGTTGGATGCTGGGATTAGCAACAGAAAAGAGACTCAGTCTCTGCCCTTAAGGTGCTCAGAGTCCCAAGGGAGGAGCAGATGAGCAATCAGTCACACCAGGGTGGTCAGTTCAGTAATTGAGGGGTTTACACAGTTCTGGGAGAGGCCAGCCTTTCCCGCACCCTGCCATGAGGGCGGGGAGAAGAGGGACAAGCTGCAATGAAAAGTGGGTTGGGGGCACATTCTGCCAACCCTTCCCTTTCTCCAGCTTTTATCTCAGAAGTCAGCTACCTGCCCACCAACTCATCACTCACCCCTTATTACCACCTCCCAACAGGGGACAGTCGCAGGATGCTTAGCCTCTTCCACCAGAAGGGCCTCCAGGATTTTGACACTCTGCTCCTGAGCGGTGATGGAGACACTCTCTATGTGGGAGCTCGAGAGGCTATTCTGGCCTTGAATATCCAGGATCCAGGGGTACCAAAACTGAAGAACATGGTGAGGAGGCCAGGAATAAAGGGCGTGGGCTGGGAGGGAGGAGGAGCCAGCAGCTGCTCTGCACCTGGGCTGCCTATGCATGGTCAACCCCTGATTGCTCATATCTGTAGTCTACAGTAATCAGCAACTTTGGTTATATATATATATCTAGTCCACGTAACAGACAAGAAATACTAAAGTGGTCTCACTATTCATTGGTATCATGAATATTGGTTGAATAATATTAATTGCTAAAATGGTTGATATGGAAATCATTGACATATGAGAGAAACATTGACTCAGATTATATCAATAATATGATCTTCACCCACTGGTAGAACTCACTGCAGCATCTGTGTTAAATGATAGTCACCCTACTAATGGGAAAATTCAGTGGGGGGGGGGAGAAAGAGAGAAGAAAGAAAAAAAGGGTGGAAGGGAGAGAGCTAGCAATTACTGAGCATCTCCATGGTTTGTGTTTCTCAATGTGTGGTCTACGGGCCACCTGCACATATGGGATGCTGGTTAAAAATGCAGATTCTCTGAGGTGTGAGCCAGGAACTGACATTTTAAACTATTTCCCCAGGAAATGTGTGGTGACGACTGTGGCTGTGTGCACCATGCATAGCATTAGATGCTTTAGTATGCCACTTAGTTGTACCTTCCAGAAGCCTGTGCTTTTGACTAAGATCATTTAACCAGTAAGTGGCTGAGCCTAGATTCAAACTCAGGTCTGGTTGCATAGCCCATATTCTACCATAGAGCTCTGTTCCAATGAATATCAGTATCATTGGAGAAATACCCATGGTCACAAAGTGATGTTAATAGAGTCCATAATACAGATTTCACATGAGTCAAGGAGAGGGTGGAGGATCAAAACTAGAACTGAAGACTTCATTTCCCTTCATCTCCCCACTCCCAACGCCCTATTGCAGATACCCTGGCTAGCCAGTGACAAAAAAAAAAGTGAATGTGCCTTTAAGAAGAAGAGCAGTGAGGTAAGTGGGGCTGGAGTTCTGGGTAGAAAACCCTGGCATCTCCAGACCATCACCTCAGGTTGAGGATGCTTGTTTGCATGAATATCACTTGCATCATGTTCTATAACGACGTACAGGGAACGCTCAGCATTGTCCAGCCTTTCTCCCCATGAGGAGGGGAGGGGAGGGTGGACCTCTGGGTCCCCAGGAGTTTGGGATGAGTGGCCTGGATGCCTGAATTTTCTGTCTTCCCCAGACAGAGTGTTTCAACTTTATTCGTGTCCTGGTCTCTTTCAATGCCACCCATCTCTACGCCTGTGGCACCTTTGCCTTCAGCCCTGCTTGCACCTTCATTGTGAGTTATCTGGCACCCAGCTCTTAGGCCCCAAGCATCCCTCCTCACATCTACTCCCAGCCCATCCTCCATAGCTCTGGATAACTCGGTTCTTCCAGACACAGGACCCTCATGAGCTTTCTGGCCTTGGACCAATTCCCTCTATGTTCCTTTCCCTTCTTCCCTCATGGCCCTCATTTCCCAGACATGAGACTCTGGCATTCTGGCCCCCCCAACCCTCCCCTCCTCTAGGAACTCCAAGATTCCTACCTGTTGCCCATCTTAGAGGACAAGGTCATGGAGGGGAAAGGCCAAAGCCCCTTCGACCCTGCCCATAAGCACACAGCTGTCTTGGCAGGTGAGTATTGGGTTCCCTGGTCCATCCCAACATCTGCTTTCCCAGGACACTCTGAAATGTGGAATCTGACAAGAGTTTCCTGAAAGGCAGGGGACAAGGGAGGGGAAGCCAGAAGCCTCAGAGCATGAGATCAGAGGGAGAATGAGGCTCCAACTCTCAGCTCTGCTGAAGCTGCCACCCAGTTGGTGGAAGGAAGATGGATATGGAGGGATACACAGAGGCAAGATGGTCCAGGAAGGGTCTCGAGCAGAGAAAAGGCCTGAGATTCAGTCATCAGTCCAACAAATATTGACTGTGTGAACACCTCTGGTATGCCAGGCATTGTGCTGGGAACTGTAGGGGTTACAGAGAAGAAATCATGGCCTCATGCCTCCTGGACACAAAGTGTTACAGACATCCCACCCTGGTTTCCTGGAGGAGGTGTCCTCTGGCTTTGGAGTGGTACCTTGAAAAATAGGTAGATGGGCAGGGAAGGTGTTCTAAGAAGAGAAGGGTAGGACTCAAGGTATGGAAGCAGAAAACACAGCCACCTTTGGGGAATAATGAGTCATTCTGCTTATCAGCTGCGTGTGGGAGAAAGGCTAGAAAAAGGCCAAAACACACAAGGCCACAGGGTTGGCTATTCCTTGTGATTGGTGGGGGCTGTACAGAGGTGTAGAGCAAACGAAGGAGGCCAGAGCGATGTGAAAACTGGCCCCAGTCAGAGGTAGGTCTGAGGAGGGCATTAGCCCCCTCCAACTGATAAGTTTCCCCCTCTCCCCAGATGGGATGCTCTACTCTGGCACCATGAACAACTTCCTGGGCAGTGAGCCCATCCTGATCCGCACACTGGGGTCCCAGCCTGTCCTCAAGACTGACACTTTCCTCCGCTGGCTGCAGTGTAAGAACCTGAGCCCCACACAGTGCAGGTCTGGCCCCCTTCCCCGAGTCCTGGGGACAGGGCATTGTGAACTGCTGTTAATTCACTCAACTCTTATTTGTTGTGCGCATACTATGTGCAATACAGTACTGCTAGGCACTGGGGGTAAAGCAGAGAAGAAGGCAAATCTCCTGTCTTCCTGAAGCTTTCATCCTACCTAAATAAAGAATACCTGTCGCTCCCCTTGTGCCCTCCATGGCTACACCTCGACCAGCGGTGGTACCCGAGGCACCCTGTCTCCTGGCCTCTAGAACCAACCTACGGGTTTTCACCAAGGGGAACCCAGGGCATCCAGGTGCTCGATCCGTAAGCCTATCTGCCCCACCCCGCAGCGGACGCCTCCTTCGTGGCAGCCATCCCTTCGACCCAGGTCGTCTACTTCTTCTTCGAGGAGACAGCCAGCGAATTTGAGTTCTTCGAGAAACTCCACACTTCCCGCGTGGCCAGAGTCTGCAAGGTCTGCACCCTGGGCGGGAGGCGTGGCTTTCCATGGAAGAGCCAATAGGGAGGTGGTAGGGGCGGGGATTATAGGCTGGGGCCCAATGAAAACAAGGAGGGAACGGATGGGGCGGGGACACGCGAGGCAGGGGGCACCTCCTGACTCCGCCCGCGTCCCTAGAATGACGTGGGCGGTGAAAAGCTGCTGCAGAGGAAATGGACCACCTTCTTGAAGGCCCAGCTGCTCTGCGCTCAGCCTGGGCAGCTGCCCTTCAACATCATCCGCCACGCAGTCCTGTTGCCTGCCGATTCCTCCACCGATCCCCACGTCTATGCAGTCTTCACCTCTCAGTGGTGAGCAGTGGGGCGGGAACGTGCGGGCTGCACGCAGGCTAAGGCCAGCACCTGTGCTGCCCTGGCTTGCAAAGAGAGGTAGGAACTGACCTGAGTCAGCACATACTCCACTTCACATAGGAAAGCGTTTGCTCATCATCACCTCCCAGGAATTTGACACATGCCCTTAATGTACATGGGGAATAAAGCTCAGAAGTTATTAGTTTATATTCCACCTGGTCCAAAACAAAAAGATGGGAGACAGCTCACAAAAGTCAAACATTAAAATAAAATAGTAAAATAACTGATATGGAAATGGGAAGAAAAGGAGAGTAAGAGAAACCAGAGATAGGGTCAGCACATTACAAATATTTGTCATTTATACAGTCCTGGATATTGGTCACAAATTTACTTCTGAGCTTCCTAATGGCCATAGCAAAGAGGGAAACATGACCAGCATTGTAGTATAAAAATAAAGACATTGCTCAGAGGCTGAGAAGGTTAACTGAGCTGTAGTGATGTGATTCCATAGTGTTTAGGTACCAGCTGCCAACATGTCAGGTACCAAAGATATTTGGTGTGAACAAGGTCTGTGTCTGTGGCATCCAGAACTGAGAACATGGTGTATACAGTCCAGTTAAAGAGAACAAGAGAAACAGGCCTTCTTTCTCCACAGACCACAACTGAAGAAATCAAAATAGTCTTGTAGTCAGATTATGGTAGTTCTCTGAGGACCAGGAGTCCATAGGGCCCAAAGAAAGAGGGGTTTCATCTAGAGCCTTTTGGGAGCTGTTTATACTGCCCTTCCCATGGGAGCATCCCAGCCTGGGCTGGAGAGGGAGAAGCTAGCCCAGGGCTGAGCCCCAGTTAATTCTCATTAAGGACAATCACCCTTCAGATACTAAGAGGGCCAGAGTCGGGGGCTTTCCTAGCCCTTATCACCACAGCTAGGGGTAGGAGAGGCTGGCCACTCCTCCACACTCCTGCCCTCTTGGGATTTCTCATTAAGGGTGGGCCAAGGGCTGGAGGGGTAGCTTTCTGGTATTGCAGTGGAAATCACAATGTCCCCTCTGGCTGTCTCCAGGCAGATAGGTGGGACCAGGAGCTCTGCTGTCTGTGCCTTCTCTCTCAAGGACATCAACCGTGTCTTTGAGGGGAGGTACAAGGAGTTGAATAAAGAGACTTCACGCTGGACTACTTACAGGGTCCCCGATATCATTCCCCGGCCAGGCAGCGTGAGTACCACCCTCCACACTGAACAAAACCTGTCCACAGAGAGACACGTGATGCACATGTCAGCGCACCTATCATGACATAATAAATGCCCAATAAATATCAGTGCTGTCTGCCCCCCAACTAGTTCTGTCTGCTCAGATATACACCTGGTCCAGCTGCCCACACTTCACAGGTGTCCACTCCATCCTATGCCCAGAGGAGCTCCCGCTCCGCCCCAGCTACATGCACACCAAATACCTGGGTATGTCACCGAGGAAACAAAGGAGCAGGGGCTGTGCCAAGGACTGTCTTGGGCATCCTCACCTGCATTCCTTACTCAGATTTTGTTTTTAAATCAGAGTTGTATATGTATGTATGCCATTTAACAAATCACACAGATCTATATGGTTGGGTATAAAAACCAGCCCTGTTCCCTTTCCTCCACTTTTCTCTATTTAGACACAACCACCTTCAACCCTTTTAGCTGATTCTCTTGGGATTTACCTCCAAACTGCTAAATAACATACTTCTATTGCTGCTTCCTGATGTTTCAGTCAGGCAGTATCTGTCGAATTCTCATTCTGGAAGGTGAGGATTTACCTGCACTTCCCCACCCCCACCCCCACCCTGCGTTGTGTTGGAGCTGGTTTGCAGCAACTAGCAAGAACTCTTTTTGTGAATCTATTTCCAAATTCATGTCCAATGACATCATGTTAATTGCCTGAAATCAGCCATGGTGGAGAATATACACCATGGAAATCAGCAAACACTACAACCAAGGCTCCCCCACCCCTGGTCCCAGAGCTGCCGTACCAACACACCACTGTGCTTAAACCCTCATCCCTCAACTTATTTTTATAGCAATCTTCATTAAATCAATATTTTCATTATGATTATTATTCACAGCTGAACTAGGTAGTAAGTTATGATTGCTTTTCCTTTTTACATAATCTGTTATATTCCCAAGGGATAATAATTACCTTTATTTTTTTTCATATTCTTTGTTTTCTAAGCTGTAATCTTTAATTCAACCCTTCCTCAATTATCTGAATCTCTTCTAAAGACAGATCTGTTAGGCAATTTAACAGTTTCATCTTCCTAAAAATTCTTTCTGTCGGTTGCAGCGTGGACTGGTGGCCCTCTGCATCCGGGCACAGCTGCTGTCCTGGAACCTCCCTTCCCATGCTGGGCATTCCCTTTGCATCTCTCTTGTGACTATCTCGTGTGTCTTGCATCCCATTGCTTCCCCTTTTTTTCTTCTTCTTTTTAAAAATTATCTTACTTTAGTGGAGAATAGCCTCTGTAGTTTCTTGGAAAGGGATACATGGCAGGTAAAATTTTTTGAGACCTTCAGTCTGAAAATGTCTTTGTTCTACTTTCACGTTTGACGGTTTGGCTAGGAATATACAATTCTAGACTAGAAGTACTCTTCCTTCAAAACCTTGAAGGCTTGCTCTATTATCTTCTACCAGTGCTGCTATTGGGAAGTCCAGAGCTATTCTGATCCCTAATTCTTTGAATTTCACCTGTTTGTTTTTTTTTTCTCACTGGAATCTTGTAGTGCCTTTCCTTTGTCCCTAGTTGTTCTGCAATTTCACAATATTGTTCTTTGATGGGACTGTTTATTTATTTGCTGGACATTCGATTTGCTCCTTCAGCCTGGAAATTAATTCCTTCAGTTCTAAGAGCTTTTCTTGAGCTATTTCCTATTTCTTTTACATTCAACAAATATTTTTTGAGGCCACCTGCCACTGTTCTAGACAATGGGGACACAGCAGTGAATGAAACAGACAAAAGTCCTTTCTCTCATGGAGCCGACATTCTAATGTTAAAATGTTTTCCTACTTCTTTCTGGACCTCCTGGACTGGTTCTCTAACTTTTAAAGTCCTTTCCTATTTTCTAAGTCTTTGGTTTTGTTCTACTTTCTGAAGAGTGTCTCAATTTTATCTTTTGATTCTTCAAGAATTAGATTTTTAATTTCTGCTGAAATATTTAATGTCCTAGTTTTTTTTTAGCTTGGAGTATCTCTTTTATAAAAATGCTCTATTATACAGAATTTCAAGCATAATAAAAGTAGACAGAGTAGTATAATGGACCTCCATAGACCCATCGGTCAACTTCAACTCATAGTCAATCAAACTTGTTTCATCTGTGCCCCACCAACTGCCCCCGTTTTTGTTTTGAAGCAAATTCTGGACATAATATCATTTCATCTGTATTAGTTTCCCATGGCTGCCACAACAAATTACCACAAGCTTATCATAAAACAACAGAAATTAAAAACAAAACAAAACAGAACAAACAAAAACTCAGAAACTTATTCTCTTACAGTGCTGGAGGCCAGGAGTTCAAAATCAAAGGGTCATCACGGTTGGTTCCTTCTGGAAGCTCTGAAGGGAAGTCTGTTCCACGCCTCTCCTCTTGCTTCTACTGGGCTGCTGGCCATCTTGGTGCTCCTTGGCTTGTAGACATGTCACTCCAGTCTGGTCCTCTGTCACTGCTTCTCCTCTGGATGTCTCCTCCACTCCTCTTCTAAGGACGCTTGTCACTGAATTTGGAGCCCATCATAACCCAGAATGAGTTCATTTTTAGGTTTTTTTCATTATATCTACAAAGATGCTTTTTGAAAATCAAGTCACATTCACAGGTTTTAGATGGACATATCTTTTGGGGCCATTATTCAACCCACTACATCATGCATAATATTTTAGTATGTATCTCCAAAAGATAAGGGCTTTAAAAAATCACACAGCCGTAGTACCATTATCACACCAAAAAAATTCCTAAATCTAATATACATTTAGTGTTCAAAGTTCTAATAGTTTCATAGATGTCATAAGAGCTTTTTTAAAATAGTTTATTTGAATCAAAACCCAAATAAGACCTAGAATCTTGGTCTAACTTTTATCTCAGCTGTTCTTTTAAGTCTCTTTGAACCTATACGTTCCTTTTCCATCTTCTTTTTCACTCTTGCAATGTATTCATCATGTAGAATTTTCCACATCTGGATCTTGATGATTTTCCATCTCTGTGGTGGAGTTTTAAGTATTTTCTATTAATTGGTTTGTGGCTGGATCTAGAGACTTGATCAGAGTAAACTCTGATTTTGGTGGGAAAGACTACTGCACCACGGTAGTGTAGTCTTTCTTCAAGACGTATGGCTGCCCTCTTTGAGGTAAGAACTCTCGTAGCACTATGTTCTTGTTTCCCTGGTGTACTGTTTTCAGTTACCTCTCTAAAGACAATAATGATACTTTGCTGTGAAGTTTTCTTTTTGCTGAATCATTTCTGTCCCCTCTTCAGTGTTGTTTTTTCTATTTGTTTTGGTTCATTTTATGTTTGCGGTTTCACTCACATGTCTGGTAATCCTTAGCTATCCACTCATATTTAAGAGTGGGAGACTATGAAGCTGTTTGGAAACTGCGGCCATCCATGTGACTTGGCAACTCGAGCTCCGTTGTAGCTTTCAGTGCGGCTGGCCTGGCTGGGCTGTGTCCTGAGCGCTCTTCGATGTCAGTGTTTTTAAGTCTTTCCTCTTGGACCTCTAATCAGTTTTCCCGGAGCAAACCCTTGTAGTCTTTTGCTTGGAGGGACATTGTCTGGCTCCTGGTATCTGGGAACCATGGGGGAAAAGGGCTGGGTATGGGAGAGGAGTCTCAGCATGTCTTGTGCCTCCCTGCCCTTAATCCCCTGCCTTCATACCATACCTGCTGTCCTCCATCCAAAAACCCTCTGTTTTACCCTCTCCAGAGAATAAATCCCCAGTCTTGGGCTAGGGTGTGGAAGGGCCAGTCACCCAGCTGCGTGGAGCTGCCTGCTTCTTAAACACACTTTCAAAGAATCTTCTTTATTCAGCCCCTCATCTACCCCACTTCAAGAGGTGACTGGGGCCACTAATTCATGAACTTTAGGGGTTCTGCCTTGTAAATGAGAACGTTTTGGGCTACCCTAGGGCTGGGTTAAGAAGATTATTTTTTTTTCCTGCCAAGTCTTTTACTATTTGTTCATTTGCTTCCCAGCTTCCAAAATGTGACTGCTTTTGCTTCCTTTCCTATTCTCCCCATCCCTGAAGGTTTATACTTTAAAAAAAAAGTCCCTTTGTGAGGAAGATCATGTACTCACTCTGGCATCAAAACGAGATGTAGGTGTATATTAGTTCCCTTTACATATAAGAAACTGAAGCTCATAGAGGTGGGGTAACTTGTCTGAGGACACCAAGCTTGTAGGTGACAGAGTCAGGGCTGGCCCGAAGACAGTGTTCTCGGGGAAGGAGGACAAGGACCCTGACCAAAGAGGAGGTCGCAGGTGTCCCAGAGCCACAGCATGCTGGTGCTGCCAGGGCCTTTAGAGAGCAGCTGGTCCAACCTCCTCATTTTATGGGTGAGTAAAAGGAGGCCCAGAAAGGAGAAGGGACTCCTCCAGAGTCAGGCAGCAAGTTCATTACAAAACCATCATGAGAACTTCCCTGTTACACCATCTCTTTCTGTGACATCCTTCATTCAATCACAGACTCAGCAAATGTTTTTTGGGCAACAGCCGTGTGCCTGGGGTTATAGACATGAGTAAAACATGGCCCTTGCCTGCAAGGGGCCCGCACCCTGCTTCCTGATGGCTGCCAGGCATCCCTGATGACGGCGAGGAAAGTAGTAACAGCTCACATATATTAAGTACTTCACGGCCAGCATTGTTCTCATTGCTTTCCACGTATCAATGCATTTCATCCTCACAGCAGGCCTGTGGTGTATTGGTAATATGCCCTTTCACTGTTAGGGAACTTGAGGCTCACAGAGGCTGGAATTTGAGGCTAGGCAGCTCTAGAGTCTGAGCTTTAGCTGCCATCCTGAGACAATATCTGCCACGAGGGAGGGAAGCCAAGGAGACTAACGGAGGGGGAGGGAGGGAGAGAGGGAGAGGCAATGGTTGATCTGCCCCCTCCCCCTTTCAGTGCTCAGCGGGCCCTTCCTCTGATAAAGCCTTGACCTTCATGAAGGACCATTTCCTGATGGATGAGCAGGTGGTGGGGACACCGCTGCTGGTGAAGTCGGGCGTGGAGTACACACAGCTTGCGGTGGAGACAGCCCAGGGCATTGATGGGCACAGTCACCTGGTCATGTACCTGGGCACCAGTGAGTAAAGGGCTCCAGGACATCCCTCAGGGGGCTACAGCAGGGGCTGCAACTCACGTTGAGGAGGGAAACCTTTGAGTTCATTCACTCATGCATTCATTCATCCAGATGTTTTCTGAGCACCTAGTATATGCCTGGCACCCTGCTGGCCTCTGAAAATATAATGGGGGAACATAAGAGCCCAGTCCCTACCTTTCTGAGCCTTCGTTCTGGTGGGGGACACAAACATGGAGGGCTTTGGTGGCCTTAGTAGGAGCTATTTCTCTTAGGGAGGAAGCCGTGTCAGGGAGGTGATGGGTGAGTAAGTAGGTGGAGCTGGAAAACAGCGAGTGGAAATCACTCCTTTAGGAAGCCTGGCTCTGAAGAGGTAGGAAGGAAGTGGGGGTGATTGGATGTGGGTGTGTTGTCCAGCCAGCATTCTTTTTTTAAAGCTGGGAAAGATCATCAGGATCCAGTAGAGAGGAAGATGGTGAATTGATGGGCAGGCAGGGGGATGATCGGGAGGTGGAGGTACGGAGGGAGCAGGACCAGCCAGAGTCCAGGACACACGTTGGGGGACCGGCCACGAGTGGAGGAGGGAGAGTAGAGGAGGGGTAAGATGGGGTGGGTGCTAGCAGGAAGCAGAGGGAGCTCTCGTATCCTCTATGAAAAGAGAAGGACCCAAGGTCTTGAGCTGAGAATGAGGGGTGGAAAAGGTGGGAGGTTTCAGCAGAGAGGGGTAGACTCAAGCAGTCATTGTGGAAAGGAGAGAGAGTCAGCAGGGAATGTGGGAGATTGCCAGGCATAGATATGGAGAGCCACGGGTATGGCTGAGGTAGATGATCTTGAGCTTTTGGGGGAGAAACTGGGCAGGTTCATTCATTCTTTTAGGACATGTTGCTAGCCACTGTGTCAGCTGTGCATATGTTGGGTAGACAGTAGAGAATAAAACAGACAAAAAGCTTGGTCCTTGTGGAGTGCATGGAGACAGACAATAAATATACCAAATGAGTCAATTATTTAGTACGTAATGAGATTAGAAAATTAATCTAGCGTGAGCAGGGATCAGGAATGCCAGTTGGGAGGTAGCAATTTTTAAAAGTGTGGTCAGAGTAGACCTCACTGAATTGCCCTTAAATAGAGACACTTGATGGAGGTAAGCGAGGTTAGTGGTGTGATGTTTCTATAGAAGCATTCAGCTGTCTGCTGCTCCATGTAAAGGAAGAAAATGCACGGTTGCGCTTCTGCAGGAACAGAGTTTTATTAGGCATTTGCAAAGGAACGACAAAGGTGCAAGGGATTCCAAGGCATTTCCCAGAGAGCTCCATCTCTGTGGCATGCGTGGAAATGGTCCGACAGATGTGTGTCCAGTGTACGTTACCACTTCAGAAGGAATGTTCTGACATCCGCGGAGACCATCTGGGAGCACGAGAGGGCTCTATGGGTGAGGTGAAACAATCTCAGCTTTCTCTGTCTCTCCGCAGCCACAGGGCTCCTCCACAAGGCTGTGGCGAGCAGGGACAGCCACTCCTCTGGGGCTCACCTGGTGGAGGAGATCCAGCTCTTCACTGATCCCGAACCTGTTCGCAACCTGCAGCTGGTCCCCACCCAGGCAGGAGGGACCTTCTGATGGGGTGTGCCCGTGGTACTGGGTCTTCACTAGGTGTGGCAGGGGCATCCTGACACTCTCCACCTCTCTTCCAGGGCGCAGTGTTTGCAGGCTTCTCAGGAGGCATCTTGAGGGTTCCCCAAGCCAACTGCAGTGTCTATGAGAGCTGTGTGGACTGTGTCCTTGCCCGGGACCCCCACTGTGCCTGGGACCCTGAGTCCGGAATCTGCCGCCTCCTGCCTACCCCTATCCCGTGAGTACCAACCAGCCCTGGGTGGTGGCTGAAGCTGGCCCGCCAGGACCCTTCTTACCAGCTTGTGCTCCTGGCCTCCCTCCTCCAGGGCCTTCCGACACGCTTCCTCCAAGACCCCCCCTCCTGCGGCAGGTGCCTCCTGTCGGGCCAGGCAGTGTAGAAGCTGCTGCAGCGAGGGGCTCTCTCCCTCTCCTCTCTGCTCCGCCTCGTCTCCCCTGACCTTCCTTCTTCTCCACTGCTCTTCCATCTCTTCCTCCCTCCTCTTCCCACTTTTGTCTGTTTCAAGGGATGATTTCTGTTTTGCTGCCTTCTCAGGAAGTCCTGGAGGCAGGACGTGCAGCGAGGGAACCCAGAGTGGGCATGTGCCAATGGCCTTCGGGGCAGGAGCCGCCCCCAAATCAGTGAGTGTGGGACCAGGGGACGTACAAATGCCTGGGAGGACTTTGGGACGGGGGTGGCCCCTTCCTGCCTCAGTCTCTTCCCCTGGCATCTGCTGGGCTTGAGACCTGAACGCTCCAAGTTGGGATGGCTTTGGGTCCTGCAGGGAGGAGGGATAGGAATTCTAAGCTGGGATCCAGGATTGAGGTTGAGGTTGGTTTGGGTGTCAGATCTGGAGTCAGATGGACTGGAGGTTAACTTGGGGTCTAGGCTGGAGACAGGGAAGGGCTCAGAGTTGAGTTTGGGTGTTGAAAGGGGAATTGGAGGTGGCCTTGGGGTCTAAAGGGTAGACTATCTTCTGCCTTCCCTCTCTTCTCTCCCTTAACCTTTTGCCCTTTCCTTCACTCACAGTTAAAGAGGTCCTGGCTGTCCCCAACTCCATCCTGGAGCTCCCTTGCCCCCACCTCTCAGCCCTGGCCTCTTACCACTGGAATCATGGGACAGGAACAGCTCCGGAAGCCTCTTCCATGGTCTACAATGGTTCCCTCTTGCTGCTACTGCAGGATGGGATGACGGGCCTCCACCAGTGCTGGGCCACTGAGAATGGCTTCTCATACCCCGTGGTCTCCTACTGGGTGGACAGCCAGGACCAGTCTCCTGCGGCAGGTGCCTCCTGTCGGGCCAGGCAGTGTAGAAGCTGCTGCAGCGAGGGGCTCTCTCCCTCTCCTCTCTGCTCCGCCTCGTCTCCCCTGACCTTCCTTCTTCTCCACTGCTCTTCCATCTCTTCCTCCCTCCTCTTCCCACTTTTGTCTGTTTCAAGGGATGATTTCTGTTTTGCTGCCTTCTCAGGAAGTCCTGGAGGCAGGACGTGCAGCGAGGGAACCCAGAGTGGGCATGTGCCAATGGCCTTCGGGGCAGGAGCCGCCCCCAAATCAGTGAGTGTGGGACCAGGGGACGTACAAATGCCTGGGAGGACTTTGGGACGGGGGTGGCCCCTTCCTGCCTCAGTCTCTTCCCCTGGCATCTGCTGGGCTTGAGACCTGAACGCTCCAAGTTGGGATGGCTTTGGGTCCTGCAGGGAGGAGGGATAGGAATTCTAAGCTGGGATCCAGGATTGAGGTTGAGGTTGGTTTGGGTGTCAGATCTGGAGTCAGATGGACTGGAGGTTAACTTGGGGTCTAGGCTGGAGACAGGGAAGGGCTCAGAGTTGAGTTTGGGTGTTGAAAGGGGAATTGGAGGTGGCCTTGGGGTCTAAAGGGTAGACTATCTTCTGCCTTCCCTCTCTTCTCTCCCTTAACCTTTTGCCCTTTCCTTCACTCACAGTTAAAGAGGTCCTGGCTGTCCCCAACTCCATCCTGGAGCTCCCTTGCCCCCACCTCTCAGCCCTGGCCTCTTACCACTGGAATCATGGGACAGGAACAGCTCCGGAAGCCTCTTCCATGGTCTACAATGGTTCCCTCTTGCTGCTACTGCAGGATGGGATGACGGGCCTCCACCAGTGCTGGGCCACTGAGAATGGCTTCTCATACCCCGTGGTCTCCTACTGGGTGGACAGCCAGGACCAGCCCCTGGCCATGGATCCTGAACTGGCGGGCATTCCCCGGGAGCGCATAGAGGCTTCACTGACCAGGGTCGGTAGAGGGGCCACCGTGGCTGCCCAGCGGTCCTACTGGCCCCAGTTTCTCACTGTCACTGTGCTCCTTGCCTTAGTGCTTTCAGGAGCCCTCATCATCCTCCTTGCCTCCCCAATGGGGACACTCCGAGCCCGGAGCAAGGTCCAGGGCTGCGAGTCCCTGCCCCCTGGAGAGAAGACCCCACTGAGCCGAGAGCAGGACCTCCAGACTCCCAAGGAATGCAGGACCTCTGCCAGTGATGTGGGCGTCGACGACCACCACCTGGGCACTGAGGTGGTTTAAACTCCGGGCACAGGCTGGGACTATTGGGTAGGGCAGGGCGTCTGGCCAAACTGGCTGGGGGGACCTGGAGCAGTGCAGCCCTGACTCGAGTGGGAGTAGCACAAAGACCACCTTCTTCCCACGAGAGGAGCCTCTCCTGTTGCTCTGTGCCCCTGGCTGCACTCAGTGGGGCTGGCACAGTGGCCTGACTCCACTACGGGACTCCGTTCTACCAAGAGCAGGGCTGTCTAACGGGGCCGCCCCAGACCTGGGCCTAGGCTATGACAGCAGTGCCTAGAGATGGTCCTTTGGCTTTGGCCATTCTGGGACCCTCCCAGAATGAAGGACATTGCTCCAGGACACCCTAAAACACCAGGAGCCTATGGTAATAAGCACCAAACATTTAAACAACCCTAAGATAGCGCAGAACTCCTGGAAACTCCCCAGCTGCTACCTTGGACAGCAACACCCCCTTCTCCCAGGGGTCTGAAAGGCTCTGCAGGGAGCTGTCCCCCGTTCTACTCCCTTATCAACCGTGTACCACTCACTCCCGGGAAGTCTTTCCTGACGTTGGACCACCTTCCTTCTTGCAGCTGGGGGAGATTGTGATCCCTTCTGGCTGGGCTAGAATGGTAGGGATAATCTGAGCCTCCTTCACTCCTTTACCCTGCCTGACCCCTTGACCTATCACCTCTCTCCTTTCCTTTGTATCGGAATTCAGAAAACTGCTTGTCACAGACAGTTTATTTTTTATTAAAAAGACAAAGCGTTCAACTGGTGCTGGTTTTGTGGGAACAGTGCTCCAGCAGAGGACTATGGGAAGTAAGGGGAGCAGTCATTTTGAGGACATCAGTGGGAGGAAGCCTGTTTGTGGGGTGATTGTTCTCTTGAATACCAAACCACCTTTTGTGCCTCATCAGCTCCTCTGAGATACACCCCTGCAGCCCTTTCCTCCGCTCAGGCATTGCTAGCGAGTGCCTCAGGCTTGCCTTGGGGCCAACACACGTCTGCTTACTAGCCTCAGTTTCTGTCTGCTGGTCAGGACCACCCCAGCCACCACTGACCGCGCAGCTGCTGTCCCCAGGTCGCTCTCACCTCTGCGACTCTGGCTCAGCCCCCTTCTCCCAGCAGCAGTTGGTTTCAACTCTCAGTGGGTTGAATTTATAGAGAGACCACACAGATACCGCCATCCTGGTCACATCCTCCCCAATATCTGACAAACAGCGCTCTGTCCACACCCCCACACCACCTTCCCCCCCTCCCTTCTGTCATGAAGGCACACATCTCTCCTACAACCAGGGCCGACCTGAGCATCTGCCCCTAACTCCCACTCCCTCTATAGTCTCCCCTCTCCCACCCCCAGGTGTAGTAGGTGTTCTCTGTGAGAAAAAACAAAACAATACCCTGCCCCAAACTCCACCCTTTCAGTTTACCACCTCCACCCACACTCCTGGCTCTCTCCTGTTACCATCAGACTTCAGAGAAGGTCCATTCTGGCTGCCTCCAATGTCCCCCTTACTCTCTTTAGTCCCCTGTGGTCTGGCTTTTCCCACACCTCTGTACCCAGATGACTCTCCAGGGTTACCCACAACCCCTACTGACCTTGATCTCTATGTAGCCTTCACATCTTAGCCACAGTATTCTTGTCAAACTCTCTCCTACTATGGCTTCTTCCTTCTAAAATTTGTTTTTATTTTTAATGTGGTAAAAAGCACATAATATAAAATTTGCCCTTGACCATTTTAAAGTACACAGTTGAGTAGTGTTACCTATGTGTACACTATTGTGTCAGAGAACTCTGAAGCATTTTCCATCTTGCAAGACAGTCTGTACCCCATCAGACAACAATTCCCCACTCCCTGTCCCTCCACCCTGGCAACCACCATTCTACCTCTGTCTATGAATGTGACTACTTAGATGCTTCCTATAAGTAGAATCACATGGTATTTGGCTTTTTGTGGCTGGCTTGTTTCGCTCACCATAATGTCCTCAAGGTCACCATGTTGTAGCACGTGACAAGACTCCCTTCCTTTTTTGAGCCTGCACAGTGTTCCATTGTATGTATGTGCCACAGTTTCTTTATCCGTTCATCTGCTGATGGACATTTGGGTTGTTTTCACTTCTTGCTATTGTGAATAATGTTGCAATGAACATGGGTATGTGAATCTCTTCAGATCCTGTCTGCTATGGCTTCTTTACTGGAGTCACTTGGCTTCTCTAGTTATTTCTTTCTCCCCTCCCAGCTCCCTTTCTTCCTCCCTTCACTCAATGTACTTTTATCCTGAGGCCTGGCTTTCACTGTTTCCACAGCCCTTTCCAGACTTCCTCTCTTGTGGCTCCCCTGATCCCCTCTAGACCAAGGGCTGTGGGGCAGTGGGGCGCATTGGAAAGGGCGCTGGACCAGGACTGGGATCCTGGCACCTACATCTGCTGTCAATAGACTGGGACAGCCTCTCCTGTGTGCACCTCGACTTCTTCATCTCTCAGAAGGAAGGAATGCACAGGATGCTCTTCCTGCTTTAAACATGATGGATCCTTCACCGCCAACATACGCTTCCAGAGCTGAACTTTCTCCTGTGCTCTGGACGGTACAGCTCAGTCCTGCTGGACATCCTCATCCAGGTGACCCAGAGGCTCCTGGAACCACATCCTTTCTCTCCACCCCTTCTCTGCCTTTTCCAAACATCACTCTGGCGTACTCTTTCTCATCTCCCTCTAAAATTTAAAGGCGCTCTCCTCTGTGCCAGCTTCAGCCTGCCCCAGCCCTGGCTGGTTGTTCTTCCCTAAGATTCCCCAGCACTCACTGTCTGTGTCACTCATGAGATACTTAGACTCAATCTTAAGAATGTGAGGCACAGAACAGGGTAATACATGTGGTTACCCCAACTGGGCTGGCAAACACCCCCCAGATAAGCAGTATCTCAACCCATCTCCACTGCCTATAGCATGAGGCACTATGCTATAGCCACAGGAGGCCTTGGGAATTGCTTACCATTTGTGAGAGCAGGATCTTGGTCACTCTCATCCTATGTGGCCTCTCTGCAGCCTTTGACATTGGTGGCAATTCCTTCTTGTAGCCCTCGTCCTTTGGGCTCTTATTTCAGGGTACCTACTTATCTTCCTACCTCTCTGGCTACTGCTTCTTGATTAATTTCAAGTACTCCCCTTCTTTCATCTCCCTTTAAAGGTCCGCTTGGACAATGTCTCCATGCCTCTTGCTTTCATACCCACCTCTTAACCAAGGGTGCCCTTTCACTCATTCATTCAGCACACATGCATTTAGTACCTACTATGGTTCAGAATCTGGGTTAGACAGCTGGGGAGACACATGAATCAGGCCCACTTCTTGCCCTCACAGAGCTTACAGTCCAGTAGCAGGGACTGTGGCAACAATCAGAGCTGGGGGTAGGATGGAGAAGAGGTATTGTGGAGGAAAGTGTATTCCTAGCTCAGGCTTCCTGCCTCCCTGTCTAGCTACCTGGTTACCTCAATCCGGAAAGACCACAGATATCTCTAGTGCAGTGTGTCCCAAATTGAATGTATCCCCTCCACAACTGCTCCCTCTCTCATGACACACAATTCTTGTGATCAAAGAGCATATATTCTAGTGTGAGAGACAGGCAATAGATACATAAATAAGTAAAATACATGGGGTACACTAGATAATGATGTGCTATGGAGATAAAAATGGAGAAAGCAGTTTGAGAGTAGGAGGGAAATCCACAATTTTAATAGGAGATTCAGAGTGGGTCTCACCAAAGAAAGCAATGAAATACATGGAAGTATGAGCTATGTGGGATACCTGCAGGAAGAGTTTCCAGACATAAGTAGCAGCCAATACAAGGCCCTGAGGCAGGAGTGGTGAAATGAGAAAGATACTGGGTGTGCATGGGGGCAGATTGTAGGATCCTGCTGGCCATTGCAAAGGCTTTGCATTTTACTCTAAATAAATGGGGATCTATTGGAGATTTTGAACAAGGAAGAACATGATCTAATTTATAAATACAAAGTATTGATCTGGCTGATTTATTGTGATTAGAATGTAGCAGAAGCAAAGAAATCAAGAAAGTTGTTACTGGAATAATCTAGGTGAGAGATGATGGTGGCTGAGACCAGGGCGATAGCATGGAGGTGGTAAGAGGTGGTCACGCTCTGGACATGTCTTTAACATATAAACCCAGTATTATCATTGAATGTGATGTGTGAGAAAAAGAAAACACTGAAGGATGTCCCCCAGGTTTTTGGTCTGGGCAAATGAAAGGATGCAGTCACCAATGAACTGAGATAAGGAAGAGGAACGTCTACTTAAGTCCTTTGCCCATTTTTGTTTTTCTTCTTGTTGAGTAGTAGAACTATTTTGAAATGAATTGATTCTCCATCCCAGGCCTCCCAGGCCCCATTTAAGGAGCTCTTCTTCTTCTTTTAAATCTATGTATAGACAAATAGTTTTTCAGAGCTGGAAGAGACCCTTAATGTCATTTACTCCAGGATGTCCCCTATTCCTGCAATTTTTTGAGTTCCTAAACCTCAAAATTGCCTACCTTTAGATCTTCCTGCCACACACTGGCCTCTACTTTTTTGGCTCTACAGATGAGAAAAGTTACGTAAAAATTACTGATTAGATTCCAGCTCAAGGATTTCAACAGGCCAGAAATACAAGGTGACCCAATTAGAAGGGGATCTCCTTGGCTCGATTTCGGCCAATTATAAAGCACCCGCACGCGCTATAAAGCTGAGGGCACGGCGAAGCTAATGAAGGCGTGGCCTCTGCCCGGGTTCAAGATGGCCGCAGGGACTGTCCCTCTTCTCCCGGAGGTCAGGGGCGTGGCTCAAAGATTCAGAACATTAGTAAAGTTGCCCACCGCTCGGCCCCGCCCCGTGCAGGGGGCGGGACTGACAGCTACCCAACTTCCGGTTCCGGCAGTACCGGGAGCAGGGTCGAGATGGAGGAAGATGCGAACGGAGGCTGGCAGTCGCCGGGAACAGAGGATAGAGTGGGAGCTGTGGCTTAGAGGTCCCGGCTTGGGGTTCGCCTCAGAGGCGGCGGAACCGCCCTGATCTGAGAAGGTAGGAAACCACGGGCTGAGGGTGCCTGAGGACTGAGATCTCCGAGGACCTGGACCTGTCAAGGAGGCAGCTAGTAGTCTGCAGTGTCTGGCCGCAGTTCCATAGGAGCCCGCCACGCAGTTTTGGGGATGAGGGACGATTCCCACGAGGAATCTCTTCCTGCCGGAAGAGCATGAGGTTTGCGGACAGCGAAAGAAGCATGGCTAGAGGCATGAGAGGGGCATGTCCGAGGACCCAGAGGCAGCTGTACGGGGACCAGAACAGAGCTGCATAAAAGGGGTGTCATGTGGAGCAGGTGGAGAGGATTGTCAGGTGATGTCTGTGGTGAGATCACGTGGGTGCCTTTGGATGACCCAAGGAAGGCTGGGTAGGAATCTCACCACGACCAAGCTGGGAAATTATATCGAGGTGTTGGAGGCATCAACAGCAACTTCCCCAAGGAAATGCATATTCCTTAGAACGTGTGGGCAAGCATGTAAATATATTCACGTTCATGTGGTGGATAGCTCCTAGGATGCAGAGCCTTGATGCAGGTGCAACAGGGAGAAAACACAAGGAGGAAGAAAAGATCTTGTTTCCAGCTGAGGAGTGGGGACCAAACTCCACGGGTGTCTTGTCAGGAGTTGTAGAAGATGATTTGACTTGGTGGACGTGGTTGACTAAAAAGATCTGGATGAGTCGAGTAGTCATCATTAGGCCCAGTTCTGGTGATAAGTCAGAATGGCGTCAGAGGACTCCTAACCTAGTCAGTGGTCCTAGGATTTGAGCATAGTTATCATTGTTTTAATACTGACCATCCTTAATATTTAAAGGAACACTTTCCAAACTGTGAAACATATTATTCACCTGGAGATCTTAAAATGCCGGCTCCCTTAATGAATGTACATAAATTTTCTCAGATGTTCATGACTATCTCTTGTCACCTGTTTCAGAGTCCATTCTCTGTTGGGGTCATCATGCATAGGCATTCAACAGGTCCCAACCCCAGCAGGCTGTCCCTGGGCCCCACTGAGGCTCACTCTGGAAGCCAGGCTGCCTGGGTTGGACTTGAAACTCCACCACCTTCTTGCTGGTAACTCTAAACAAGCTGCTGAAATTCTCTGTACTTAAGACCTTCATCTGCAAAATGGGGTACTAACTAGTGCTTACCCACTATGGTTCTAAGGATTAAATCTGTTAATACATGAAATATGCCTTTCAAAACAACATGCCAGCAACCTAGTAAATGCTCAACATGCTGTAGGTATTATAATTAAATTATTCCATGGCTTATGAAAAAAAAATGCCGGCTCTTAATTCACTAGGTACATTCTGAAATTCTGTATTTCTAACAGGCTCCCAGGTGATGCTCATGCTGCTGGTCTGTGCACCCCTCTGAGGAGCAAGGATTTAGAGCAGTGCTGTCCAGTAGAGCTTTCTGCAATGATAGAAGTGCTTTGCTCTTCACTAAATGCTTTCACACATATTGGCTCATATGAGCTGCACCACATTCTTATATAGCAATGGTAGGCTTTATTGGCCCCCTTTCACAGATGAGACTGAATTTCAGTGAAGTGACTTAGTTCCAGTCTTACGAGTAAGTAATGGAAATGGAACTTAAACTTGGATCTCCTGACTACTAGTGTTCTTTCCGTGTCATGACCTTGCCTTCCAGATGACACTACTGTGTCAAGGTTCATCTTACCTACTTCATCGAACCTAATGAATAGCCCGGAGTGATTTTTCTGGTACAGGGAGAGTGGAAGTGGAGAGGAGGTGTACAGACCCTACCAGTTTGTCCCTTGCCACTCGGAGTGGGGGCTCTGCCTCTGACATCTCATTTGATGACTTCATGACACCCTGGGTCATTCGTTGGGTCCCCATCGGAAGCTTTGTGCCTGAGCAGTGTTCAAAGATAGGGGGAAATTTAGAGTTGAAGCCACACAGGTAAATAAATAAGAGTCTTGGAAAGAGCCTTAAAGAATTGGGCTGATTGAGTTGGACAAGAGAAGGCTAAGGGAAGTTAGCATATGGTGTCTGTGAGGGGGGTTTTTGCAGAAGGTAAAACGAGGTACTGGTTTTGATGTTTCAGCAGGAAGTTTGGAGGTTAGACAACAAAGCAGGTTGAGATCCCAACCTTTCGGAGCAGCCCCACCTTTTGAAGGGGTCCCAGGGATGGGTGCTGTCCCTCCCTCTTCAGCTATAGTGACTTATCCCCCTGAGGCATGACCCTTAGTGGCTTCTCCTGTCACCATGGCAGTGGTAGGAGTTACCTGCTTCAGCCTTGGGAGAGTTTCCCCTTCCTTCAGGGAGTTAAAATAGACTGGCACATGTAAGAGGAGGAGGAAAGTGGAGAAATGAGGCACTGGTTCCGCCTCAGGATTTTTGATCGGGAGTAGTTGGTGCTTTGTGATTCAGCTTGACAAGGTGAGAAGGTGTCCTGACACCAGGCCCTGGGACAGAATCCTTCGTTGTTTTCTTTGCCTTTGCCTGCTTAGCAGGCAGTTTGCATGAGCCCCCCAGGAAGCTCAGCTTTTGATTTTTCTGGAACAAAGCTGAGAAAAATTCCTGGGTGTCTGTGGGACCAGGAGCTTATGCTTAACCTTTGGGTGACTGTCTGTCATAAGGGCATTCATTCTGTCTCCCACAGGTGGGAATGACTTGGCTTTAGACTGAACAGAGTGATTTGTGTTGCAACTCCTCAGTTCCCAAGGGGTAGAAGGCATGGTGGAGTAGAGGAGAAGCCTTGGCTCATGTCCTGCCTCCACCACTGAGCAGCTGTATGACCTTGGGCCTATTCCTATTAACCTATCCTGATGTTCTGTTTGCTCATTAGCATAAGTGGCTAACTGTACATAGGTTAAGTTGTAAGGATTATATGAGGTAATAGGTATTCAGTAGATCCTAGTGTCTCTCCATCTCTCATCTCTCAGTGGTATTGGAAACATGACCTTGGGACCCCAGAGGACAAATACCCAGGGGCAGGGAGACAGTAGCCTGTCTCTTGAAGGGCCTCAAAAGAGAAGATCGCCCTCCTGGATGTTGTGGGTGGCCCAGGCTGAGGCTGGGGAAGAAGGGTTGCTTTTGCTCACAGCAAGTGACACATCAGTGTTCCAGGGGTTCCCCTCCTGGATGCCCACCTTTAGCTTATTTCCCACCGCTCGATTCTGGCCAACTTAGTTGGGCTAAGCCATTGTCTCTCCCTTTCACTGTCTACACGTATTCCTCCTACTTCCAAACTGCTTTGTCCTCCACGAAGCCTGACTTGGTATGTGTACCTCTCCCATGCCTCACCTTGAAGCTCAGGTTTTCCCCTCAGTTTGCAGGTACTCAGTCTGCTCTGCAGGCAGCACGTGCCTTCATGAAGTGATACAGTCCCACTCAGGGAATTCTGCAAAGCAGACGTTGCTTCCCCACCTACTTTTATGGTAAACCAAGAAGTTTCTTAGCTAGTTGGGACCTTGGCTGGGAAGGTTGGGTGGACTCTGATTAGACACTTGACATGAAGTTTGCCAAATAACTGGTACCAGGACTGCTTGTGTAGAACATTTCAATCCTCTACAGTTGTCCCTTTGATGTGGCCACCTCCTTCCTAGCCCTCTAGCTTACATCTGTTCCCCGGAGGGATACTGTGTCTCCTTGAACAGACTGAGTTTCTCGAAGGCAGAATCCAATATCTTCTCTGTCACTTGAGGTTATAATTTATATGCTTAGGGATGAAAGGGACCAAACATGTTCTCTATCATGTATTTCTCTAGACTCTTCACGGAAACGGCTTAGCTCTCTGGTTGTTCTTTTCTTTCTCTAGAGTGAGTTATCTAATAACCAAAGAGGACTCTGACCTTTGACTTGTTCCTAACCTTCTAACTCCTTCATTGGAGGGAGAAGAGGAGTGGGGGGTGCCCTGTGGTGTGAAAGCCCCACTTACCTTCTTCCCCACACTGCAGATGCAGACTGGAGAAAATAGAAGGGTAGTGGGTGTGGGTCAGGGGAGCTCAGAGCCGCAGCATGGGAAACCAGACATGAAGTGTAGTGAGTCAGCAGGTAAGTGGCCATACAAAAGGCACCTGCTGAGGATGGAAGGTCAAGGGCAGTGCTTCCTCAGTGGGCCTGGGAACACCAAAAATGGAACATTTCCCTCTGGCCTTTACAAACCTACTAAATTGACTTAGTGATATCCTATTGGCCCACTGAAAAACTTTGCACCGTACCAGGTGGTTGGTTTGTCCACGGCACCCTGAGCTCTGCCTGGGAAGCCAGAGGAGGGAGAGAATGAGCCATGACACCAGGGCCCTGGCAGAGGCAGAGAGACCAGATGAGGTGGTTCAGTACACTGGGGGCAGGGAGTCGTGGTGGCAGTGGGGTCAGGGGAGTCCTTGGGGTGAGGAATGGTTTATGGAATTGGGAGGGACTCATTCATACAAGAGAGCGAAGGGGCAGTATCCTGATCCCTGAAGGCAAACGCAAGCCCGATTGGGGGAAATGTGAGCTTTGGGGGGATGAGCACCTGGAGATGAAGTCTGGGAGTGAGGTTTCAGAGCCTAGCCAGGAGGGGCAGTGCAAGGTTCTGACTCCTCCCTCACACCCTCCTGCCCTGTTCGAATGCCAGGTCTTCAGGCACGATGGAGGACAAACGCAACATCCAGATCATCGAGTGGGAACACCTTGACAAGAAGAAGTTCTACGTGTTTGGCGTGGCAATGACGATGATGATCCGCGTCAGTGTGTACCCGTTCACCCTCATCCGTACTCGGCTGCAGGTTCAGAAAGGAAAGAGCCTCTACCACGGGACCTTTGATGCCTTCATCAAGATCCTGCGAGCAGATGGTGTGACTGGCCTCTACCGGGGGTTCCTGGTCAACACCTTCACCCTCATTTCTGGCCAGTGCTATGTGACCACTTACGAGCTCACCCGGAAGTTCGTAGCTGACTATAGCCAGAGCAACACAGTCAAATCACTGGTGGCTGGTGGCTCAGCCTCTCTCGTGGCCCAGAGCATCACGGTGCCCATTGATGTGGTCTCCCAGCACCTGATGATGCAGCGCAAGGGTGAGAAAATGGGCCGCTTCCAAGTGCGAGGGAACCCAGAGGGCCAGGGGGTGATTGCCTTTGGCCAAACCAAGGACATTATCAGGCAGATCCTGCGGGCTGATGGGCTTCGAGGCTTCTACCGAGGCTACGTGGCTTCGCTGCTTACCTACATCCCCAACAGTGCTGTCTGGTGGCCCTTCTATCACTTTTATGCAGGTAAGCAGGGGCTGAGAGTGTGGGGTTGGGGCCGGTGGCTGTTACGGCTGAGATACTCTTCTGTACATGTTGGAGTGGGGGACTTAATGGGAAAATGGGCCATTCATTCAGCAAACGTTTGAATCCAAGAGGTTTCAGAGATGAATAGGACATGGTTCTTGCCTTTAAGGAGCTTGTATTAATTATCATGGGGGAAGCAGACAAGTAAAGTAGATGACTCTAGAACACAGAGTATATTCTGGATGCATTGGAGTCAAATAGGGTTAGTAGAATATTGGCAGAGAATTGGAAGGTGGGGAAAGGTGAAATTCATGGGATATTTGAGATTTGAAGATAAAATTCATGGCTAATAGCTTTGAGTTGGATGCCTTTCCTTAACATTGTTAAATTCAAGATATGGTATAACCTTGAACCTTTCCATGCCTATAATGTATTTTTGTTCATAAGACATTTTACTTTTTTTAAAGTATTTCCCAGAAATGGGATAACTGGGTCAAAAGATCACATTTTTGTGGGCTTCAGTAAGCATGCTGCCAGAATTCCTTCTGAAAGGGCAGAGCACACTGTCAAGAGCAGGACCTACATGTTGCTGCTACCCTGCGACGTCTGCTGCCTTGGTAACTTCCCGACTAGTTCAGGCCAGTCTATGCCTGTACCCTCACTGATCCCTGCTGCTGACTCCTACCCCTTGGCGGTGGGCATGCTGCCCCATCCCATCTGGAACTTTTCTAACCAAATTTTGGAATGACTTCCTAACCTATCATCAGTTTGTCTCTGTGGCACTGTCCTTTTCTGGTTTTCCTACTTCTCTGATTGTACCTTTTTTTGGCTAACTCTGTTTCTTTCTTCTTCTGTTTCGCATAGTCTTTCATCAAGAGTATTCGGTAAAATTCATGTACCTTGACTCGACCCCTGGCCTTTTATATCAGATTCTTTGGGGATGGATTCTGGCAATCTTAATGTTAAAGAAATGTGAGCATTTTCTCTGGAGTCTGTCTCTGCCCTTCTCTCCTCACTTGATTTCATTTATAGTTGAATCTTACTTCTCATATGTCCAAAAATCTCTATTTCCATTCCCAGACTAACCTGTCTAGAGCTCTGGACAGACACTGTGACTGTTGGAATGCTCAACCTGGATGCATGCTTTTATATCTGCAGTTTCATTCAAGTAACTATTTTTCATTTTTCAAGCTGGCAGTAGCTGCGTTATTCTCCAAATCACCAAGACTGAAGCCCTGGGGATTGTACTTGGCCTCTCCCTTTCCTTGTTCCCACGTTGAGTCCTGCTAACCCCAGAATGTCTTCCCCAAATTTCTCTCCATTCCTTTTGCCTTTCTTGGAAACCTTCCTCTGTTCCTGCCCTCCTGGGCTACTGCATCAGCCTTCCAGCTGTTCTAAATCCCTCCCTCCCTGTCCATCACACACACCTTCCTAATGGACTAAATTTCTAAACCCTGGTTGTGATGCTCAGTGGCTCCTGCTGCCTGCTGAGTAAAACGCAAACTCTTCAGCCTGGTTTCAACCTCCCTTTACAGTGAAACCTCCTGCTGCTTCCCTGTGTACAGTCCGTGCTGCAGCCAGGCCGGGTAACGCACAGTTCCTCATCTGCACAGCACCTCTCCCAGCTCTGCTTTGTGCACTTCATCCCTTGGCTGAGATGCCTTCCAGGTCCGTTTACCTGCTGGAATCATGACTGTCCTGAAGTGCTCCTTATTGCCTCCTCTCCTGTCCTCTCGCTGTAGCCCTTAACTCAGAAGTGATCCTTCCCACCTTTCAACCCTCATGACATTGCTTGAATCTTTCTTAAGGTAGTTAAAACATCTACCGTATTTTATTTGTGCCTTCTGTCTTCTACCATGTGAAAGTTTTTTTTTTAATGCATTTTTTTTCCAGCTTTACTGAGATGTAACTGAGTGGAAAGGTTCTTGGAAAGGGGCCTGGGGAGTGGAGACTAACATGTTTTGAATAGCCAGTATGTTGCCAGGCTCTGTGATACCATGTGTTTTAGGGTCTGGTGAATCATAACTGCTCAGTAAATATTTGTTGAATGGGTAGATTGGCTTTTGTCATTCCCTTTTACTTAAACATCTACCAGTGCTGCGTAATGGGCATTTGGAATAAAATCTAATACTCAGGTCTACGTGGTCTGGCCCCTCTCTGCTTCTCCCAGCCCATCTCATGCTACTCTGCTTACTCACTCTGGCCCATCCTTCCTGCCTTTCTGTCAGTGTCTGAAACACACCAGGCTCTGTTCTCACCTGAAGGCCTTGCAGATAATGTTCTTGCCGCCTGAAATACTCTTCCCTGTGCTCCTTGGGTGGCTGGGTCCTTCTCAAACTTTAGGACTCAGTTTATATGCCCCCTTTGCAAAGAGGACTTCTTTAACTTATTTTAACCCAGTTGGAAAGAGGGCTCTTTCTGTTTCTTTTTCAGCACCTTGTTTTCTTCATAGCACTTGTCATAATCTGCAACTACTTTATCCCCAATCCCCAGCTTCTTAATTGGACTCTTAAGTCCTGTGAAGGCATTTCCCTGTTCCTGTCTCTTATGTCTACTGCTATCACAGTGCCTGGTATCTAGTAAGCATTAAATATTCATTTATATTACTTGTCCAAAGTCATTTAGCCAAGAGGGCCTTAAACCAAGTCACGCTGGGTTTATCTTCTGCCTTGAGGATAGTAGGTGCCCAGTAAACACTTGTCAAATGAATAACGGAGGAGAGACATGCGCCCCTTTCCCTCACCCTCTTGCCTTTGCTTTTTCATTGTCTCCCTGAGTCCCAGGAAAATGGCGTGTGTGCATGATTAGAACTGGACTCTGGGTCCTGTTGCAGCTGCAGGCCCCGGGGCCAGTGCAGACAGGCCCAGGGAGGCTGGCAGTGCCATTCCAGATGCTACCTTCTAATGGTAGTGAGATGCTTTCTTCTCAGGAGAAACGGGGCTCCCCTGGGCAGAGCTACCAGTTCACTTTGTTTCTGTTTGTATGCTGACCCTGGGGAAGAAGGAGATTAGAAATCTGGGGAGCGGTGGTTCTGGTAGAATTTCAGGAATGCGGCCATTCAGCTGGGAGTTAGAAGCCCTCAATTCTGTCCTGCCAACCCCCACCTTCTTATTCATCCCCTAATCTTTAGTTGCCTGACCACAAATAACCAAAACTAGGAGCATGAGAAAAAAATCTTAAGGGTATTTTGGCAACTGAATTATAGAGAAAACTGAGGGGGAATCTTTGAGAAGATGACTTATTTCACATCCATTCTCCCTCAGAGTATAAGCTAGTGGCTTCAAAGCCCTAAGTGACTTGCCTCTTGGAACTCGTCCGCTGCTCTTGCCCTCACTCATTCCGCTCCAGGCATGCTCACCTGCCGGCCCTTGCACACTCGAGGCAGGCTCCTGCCTCGGATATTACCTTTGTCTGGAAAGTTCTTCCCACAGATCCATATGACTCACAGTCACCTTTAGGTCTCTGCTCAAATTTCACCTTCCATGACTGCCTCATTTAAAATGGCAGCCCCTTTACCCCCTACCCCTGGCATTCCCTACCTCCCTTTCCTGCTCTATTTTTATCTATAATAAAAATATTATAGATAATATAATAATATTGTAATAAGGTAACATTATTACTGGGTGACCCACCAATCACCCAGCTCCCTTGCTTAGAGATAATCAGTGTTACCAGTTTTTAATGTATCCTCATGTAACGTGTATCCTATGTGCAATGCATATATAAGAGAATACATGGTGTGTGCTTATCTAACCTGTGAGCTGGGAGTAGTGGAGCACAGGCATAAGATTTTCACATGGAAGGATTTCTGTCGTCAGATGAAGGGAGCCAGGAAGCAAAGAGGTTTGAAATCACCTTCTCCAGAGGAATCTTGTCCTGTTGACACTGGGTGATGTACCCAAGATGCCTTCTGGAAGGGGCCTGACATCAAAGTTTGTTGTTGGTTCAGGTGGAAGCAAAGCAAAGAAGTGACAGGAGTTATGGGTCTAAGGGGGCTACAGATGGAGGGTTTATCATCATTGGGCCAACTGGTAGACAGTGTGAGGGTGGACGGGTGGAACCTCATGTCTTGAGGCATTGTCTTTCCCTTGATTCCAGAGCAGCTCTCGTACCTCTGTCCTAAGGAATGCCCTCACATTGTCTTTCAAGCCATTTCGGGGCCCCTGGCTGCAGCCACTGCTTCCATCCTCACCAATCCCATGGATGTCATCCGAACCCGAGTGCAGGTAAGACCAGCCTCCTCCCCTACTCTCCTCCCAGGTAAACCATTGCAAGCGTGATCCTCAGGCCCTTCCCCTGCCCTCTTTGTGTCATGGCCCTCTAGTCCAGCTAGTTTTCTTCTAGTCATCCAAGCCCCTTCCTGTGGTTATGACTGACCGTTTACAGAAACCAGCTGAGCACTTTGAAGCACCTACCGTGTTTCTCTCACCCTGTCTGCTATCTTGCACGCCTCAACTCCTGCATTTGTCCATGTTCTGGAAATACTCTCTGGTTTGTTTTAGCCTTTCATCCTGTTAGCATAGCCTACCAGCCACTTTTCCTTACCTTAGGCTTGTGGTTTTAGAAATACCAATTTCAGTTAATTGCATAAGTCTGGTTTCCCCAGTAGGCTGTGAGTTCTCTTGCAGACAGTGAGGGTGACTGTTGTTGAATAGGTTCCACAGGTTGTACTGTGTGGGCTGAGCAAAAACGCTGACAGCCTTTGGTGGTGCTGTCCAAAAACTACAGTCCCTGTCTTCAGTCAGCTCAAAGACAGTTTCACATTCCCTACGCCAAGAGTCTGAATGACGATGTACAATGTACAAATGGTAGGTATAAAGCTATAGGTGGAGAGAATGGAGGATTTTAATGTCTGATTTGAGTAGATTAAGAAGAAAGCCATCCAGCTGAGTGGGGGTCATTGGGTTATGGTATGAAGGGGAGGGAAGGAAAACAACCTTAGAAGGCTGGGTGTGAAATCAGCTTCCCTGACACCAGGGCACTGGGATGGAGGTGACTGGTAAACCTAGGTACCTTTGTCCCTAGATTCCCATCTAATAGTTTAAGAATCCCCAGCCCCCTCCACACACACACACATTTGAAAATAAATAAATTGGCATCTGCTTGGTTGGCACTTAATAAAGTGCACAGACCCTGTCCTCATTCTCTCCTGAGGCTTGTCCTGGCAGCTCCACAAGGAGATGCAAGGGAGAGGCCAGCTCTCTACTTTGAGGAGCTCCCGGGCTGGAGGAAATGAAATGAGTATGAGGACCAGAGGCACAGCTGAGAAAGCCCTTGACAAGGCTGTGGAGGAGCGCGAGCTGGTCAGATGAGGGGGAGAAGGGAGTGTGGGGGAGGGGGCTAAAGAGGTCCGGGCGGGACAGGGAGATGTTCTTAGCCGCAGATGGGATCCCCTTGCGGAGGTCAGAGAGCAAAGCGGGAGGTGCAACAGGAGTGAGCTGCCCTGTGTTGCCTGAGGTCTGAGGGGGGCAGTCTCTAAAGATGCAGTTGGTGGCAGGTTACGGTGGGGGGTCAAGGGAAGGTAGCAGGACTGCAGAGAAGGAAGAGACAAAAGATTCCTGGCCTCAGCCAGGCTCTCAGTGTGACCGGGAAGACAGGGCCCGGGTGTGTGGGGGATGGCAGGGTCGGAGGGGAGGACCGTAGCCTTGGGTTCAGAGGTATCTTCAAGATGATCAGAATCAAAGGCTGCAGAGGACCTTAGGGTGATTTAATTCATCCCCCGCCTCAGCCCAGGGAAAGGCCCAAGACTCACAGCTAATGGTATTAATAAAAGCTAACATTTATTGAACACTTACTGTCTGCCACTGTTCTCAGAATTCTTTTGTTTTCTGCTCAGCACAACCACATGGGGTGGTACTATCACTGTTTTATATTTGAGGAAACCGAGGTGCAAAGAGGTAAGCGAATTACCTGAGGTTGTGCTGTTAGTAAAGTGGAGAGCAGAATTCAAACCCATACTGAATCACTGTGCCGCCCCTCAGAGGCAAAATTCAACCCTCCGACTCCCGAGTCTAGCTTTTCCCACTTTAGCCTAAGGCAGAGGGACATAGAGCAAAGGGGCTTTGACTGTAGGTCACAGCCCTCTCCTGTGTGTTGACCTTTGCAGGTTGAGGGCAAGAACTCCATCATCCTGACCTTCAGACAGCTGATGGCAGAGGAGGGCCCTTGGGGCCTCATGAAGGGCCTCTCAGCCAGAATCATCTCAGCCACGCCCTCCACCATTGTCATTGTGGTGGGCTACGAGAGCCTGAAGAAACTCAGCCTCCGACCTGAGCTGGTGGACTCGAGACACTGGTAACCAGTGGCGGGGAGAGAAGCCTGCTGTTTCCCGCACTGCTCTGGGTCGGGGGCAGAGCGGGGAGGATGGCATGCTCTCCAAGTGCCCCCACCGCCCAGGTAGCCCTGTCCAGGACCAGGTGGCCTGTCTGGGACAGGGACAGGGACTGAGCTGTTCTTGCTGAAGAGGCTCCTTGGCTGGATCCCCTGCCCCCATTATTTTTCATTTTCTTACCAAACTGGGCTCCGTCACCCAGTCCCGGTACTCAGTCTCACCCTAAGGAAACCACTCTGCCCACGAATCCCATTCCACTCTCCCACTCCTAACCTTTCATGTGGCCTCCCCTCCCTGGGATCCTGAGAAGAGCTGCACGCACTGCTTGCTTACTACCGCTGGTCTTCCTCTTGGGCTTTCAGCCCAGACACCAAGTAGCTGCGTCAGCCCTTTCCTGCTTCATCTCTTGGCTTGCTTATTTTTACTTTGGGACTGAGCTGCCCACCAGACTACTCCACTTTTCCCTGCCACTGGGGGCAAGGTTTCGGTCACTCTGCACAGGCAGTAGGAGCAGCAAAATCCTCTGGTTCTCCAGAGCACGCGTCCTCTCTTTGGAGAGTTACTGGGTTGGGGAGAAATGTTGATACTTTAGTTCATGTGTGCATTTTTTTTTTAACCTCTGTGAACCAGGCTACTGTCTTAGAGCAGCTAAAGCGCCAGTCCTGCAGTCAGAGCCCAACCCTTCCTCAGACTGGTGGAAAAATGTAATGTAGCTTTTCTCCCAACCCCAGTTCCATGTCCCTTCCACGTCCCCTCAGTCCCAGCAGCCCCAGGGCATATAAGCTGTTGGCTTCCCTGGCACAGGTGACTGAAGCGGCGGGCACCGTCCTAAGTAGATCAGGCTCTCGAGGACACGCCAGACTGGAGTACTACCCGGAACAGTCAAGCTGAGAGAGTAGTTGGTTTGGAAAGTGACAAAGGGGCATGCGTGCCCCAGTGCATCACCCCAGACCAGCTGAGCCAAGCCCAGGAGAGAGAAGCGCAGGTTCTCAGCCCCGGGCAGTCATGACATACACACATACGCCCCGAGCACGTGGACTTACGGAAAAAACTTTGGTCTCACAATGGGAGTCTCCCAGATGTGGAACTGTTTGTGTATTTCTCCCCCCCCGAAGTGAAGAGTCATCCCAGTCATGGCCCTGTGGAGGAATGCACGGAAGAACAGTAAGAGGGGCCAGCAGGTCACCCAGTACCGGGACCACTGCATTCACCAGCCTGATACTGCCGAGATTTTCTGTGACGCTCTCAGGAGCGCGATGAGGGGCACTGCTTCCCCACCTCATCCCCTCCTGCCCCCACCTTCTGCCCCCCGCCCAGCCGTCTCTTCCACCAAGCCTGTGTTACGGGCGGAGAGAGGTGCCGTGAACGGAACGAGACGGAGGCATATCAAACCCTGCATTTCTACCGAAGACGTTTGGCCTGGCTGATACTTCACACCTTCTTATTGGCCCCACCCCTGGGAAAGGCCTTGCTGCCATTCGAAAGGTGCTAGCTCCCTGAGGCCTTGGTACTTCTTACAGCTGCCCCACATTCTACCACCCTGGCCAGATCAGAACCTGAAAACCGCATTTCTTGACCTTCACCGCCACCACTGCCCATTTTGGTCTCTCATCTTTGAGGGTTATTCTCCCTTTCACTTATCTTTTGTGTTTGTCCCTTCTTATACTTTTTCAAGAGTCCTCCAATTTCTGCCCACAAACGGTCGTTCAAAGAGTTGGGCCCTCAGATCATTCCGAATGTCCCTGCCCCTCAGTCACCCCTTTACTCCAAGGAACCACCAACATAATGGAGGCTGTGGGCCCCTCCTCTCTCTTTAAACTCATCCTGGTGAGACCTCTGGAGATTGGCTTTCTCAGCTCCACATCTTTCCCTCCCTAGAGATTTGTCTTCAGTTCTTACCCACGATGGCAAAGCGGGGTGACACACACACACACACACACTCGCTCACTCACTCACTCACTCACTCTCACTAAAGGATTATGTGTGTACAATGAAAGGGACCCCTGGCCCCTACTTTCCAGTCCAATAGTTTAAGGACTGGGATTGAATTTGATTGAAATAGGTCTTGGTTGGGGCTGGACCATGGCCTTCCGTTTCCCCAGAACCATAGACCCGACCTGCTGTGATTGTTGATTTATTGGTCCGTGGCCAAAACTGGAAACTTCCGGAGACTTGGCCAGAGAGGAAACCTGAGGGGAGCCTTGAGGAACGGGAATGCGAACAGTTGCCAGTAACGTTTGATGAAGTGGACTCTTGTGAATATTAACAGCGAACGTTCACTGTTGCACTGTACCAAGTCTTTGAAGTATAATTAAAAGTTTTTATTGAGTCCCGGAGTTTTATTGAGCCTTTGGCTTGCGCTTATTTTGCACGCTTGCGGCGGAAGTGCTGAGGTGTCTGCCTGATTCATCTTTACAGCACCTGCCCCCCGCACTTTCCCTCCCGTCTCAGCGCCTCGGTGATAGACACTCCGCTGCTTCCAATCGGAGGCCCCGATTCGGCAGCGGCCTATCGGAAGCTTCGGTGGGCGGGAAGGCCAGGGCAGTCAGATTTGGCGGTTCAGCTTCAACATGGCCGAAGGGAGCAGCATCGGTGTAGGCAGCAGCTGTGAGGAAAAGGGGCCTGAGGGGTCGTCCGCGGATTCTGTGCTCTCCAGCACTACCATTTCGAGGGTGAAGCTCCTCGACACCATGGTGGACACTTTTCTCCAGAAGCTGGTCGCCGCCGGCAGGTAAGGCGGAAGAAGCGAAGCAGAGTGCAACTCTCTCAGAAGACTGAGGCGAGCGCTAGGCGAAAAGGGTTTGTCCCGCCGGATTCTCAATCCCGCGAGATCAGGACGCTGGAGGGCAAACAGTCACGTGGGCCTCACGGGTGGCGGGTTGCCCATCGGTTTTAATCCACCAATACTCAGTTCCTAGCGTCGGAGGTCGCGTGCGGTTTGCCAACACTGGTGACGAGTACCCGGCCGGGGACGCCCGCTACTCCTTCCTCCACTACGCCTCCTTTGGACTGAAACTTCCGGGGGGTGGGAGGAAAGATTCAGGCTTTGGGCTTAGGTTAGGGGTCCACCCCTGGCCCCACACCATGTGAGCAGGCCTTGACCGCTCTGTACCTCGGTTCCTCATCAATAAGAGGGCAATAACGGTACCTTTCTCTCAAGGTCGTTTTGAGAAGTAGTGAGTAAACACACAGAAGGCGCTTAGAACGGTGCCGGCCACGTAAAAAGCATTAGGATTTTAGCTATTGTTATGGGAATAGTATCTTCTTCACTGGGTGGTTAGAAAACTGAATGTATTACCACAGAAAGAAATATTTCCTGTCTTGATTTTTATTTTATATGAACAATATTATAGCAATGTTGGACACTTGAAAGAATTTTGCACATGATCCTACCACCCCGTGAGAAGGAAAACACTAGATAGGATAATTAGGGGATCCCATTCCGAGGAAGTGACATTGAGCTGAATCTCAAAGAATGTGAAGGAACCAACTTTTGGAAGAACAAGGGCAAAAGCTTATGGAAAAGGGGCAGTTTGTGCAAAGGCCCTGAAGTGGTCAGGGCATTCTAGGAACTGGCAGAGGTGTTGTCCACAACACCGTAATCAGAGGGGGAGTAAAATCAGAGGAAGCTGGACAGGCAGGTGACAGTCTTATCATGCAGAGCCTACTTTCCAGAATAATAAACTTGATAAAATAATTTGTAATTATTTTTATGGACTACACTATCATCATATGTCTAGACAAGGTCCCTCCTCTGTTTTTTAATGAGTTAATTTCCCCTACCCAGTACTGACCTCCTGTCCTCTCCCCATAAACCCTACTTTCTGTTTACTTTATGTCCTCCATTTATTCCTGTACAAATATTTATTTACCATCTATAGTGTCCCAGATTCTGTTCTAGGAGCTGGAGATAGAGCCGTGATCGAGAAAGAAGGTCCCTTCTCTCATGGAATAGACATTCGAAGGGGCCATAAAGAAAAATAAATTGGTGTAAAGGAATAGAGAGCAGTAGGAAGAAGGATCTGGGTTAATGAGAATGCAAGGAAGTGAGTTTTGAATGTATTTTCATCCATTGCAAAATGTGTTTTGTCTGTGTAGGTTCAAGTCTATATGAATGGTAATTGAGCGACATGTGCTTTTTTTCCACTCAACACTATTTATGAAAAAATACCTAACACAGTAATATCGATGCATGTAGTTCAGAGCTTCTCAGTGCAGCTTATCATTGCATCATGTGCATCTAGCACGTAGCCACTCCCTTGCACGGACACCTGGCTGCTTCCAACTGCCTCTACCACAAATTATGCCGGGGTGAGTATCCTTGTGCCTCTCCTCATGGACTAGTGCTAGAATTTCTCTGAGCTCTGTAATGGAGAGGGCTCACTGGATCCAGCGTTTACCTACGTTTTGTCAGATTGCTTTCCAGAAAACTGTTTTTACCTCCTGCATCTTCACCATCATTGTTATCCACCATTCTAATCATGCCATCTGAAGGTATGAAAGGGGTATCTCATTGTTTTAATTTGCATGTCCCTTATTCCTCATACGTTTGGGCATTTCATTATTTGTTAGTCATTTGGCTTCCTCTTCTGTGAACTGCCTACTCATTTCCGACATCTATTTTTTTTACAATGGGGGTTTTATCTCGGTGATGTGCTGGAGTTCCTGATATAGCCTAGAAATCAATCCCTTGTCAGTTTTAGATTGAAGAAAGAAATATCTCTATTAGGTGTTAACTTTTATAATGTCCTTTGAGGAACAGAAAATTTTAATTAAATAAAAAACAATGCAGATTTTAGTTTTTTACACTAGTATGTAGTCATACTTTTCTAGTTTTATCTAGTTTATTAAAAATAAGCCAGTCGTACTTTTTTAGTTTTCCCAGTCATTGTCAACTAAACAGTTCAACCTTCTCCACTACTTTATGGAGTCCTGTTTATCATTTGTCATCCTTTAGTTGTTTACAAAAGGATAAAGCAGAAAGAAAACTGCAATCATCCCAGGAGACCCCCTTACAAATTGTGTAAATCCTCTTGACCCTCCTATTTCTGTCTCTGGACTAACTCGGCATCCCTCTATCAGTTGTGACAAATTGTTAGGATTGCCTAATCAATTAATTTTTTAAAATTCCTTCATTTTCATGTAATTCTTTTCTTCACTTTATGGTTTATGTTTTTGAGCTTTTACTTATAAAAGCTATACTCATACCTAGGTCACAATGATAAATTGCAGTGTTTTCTTCTATTAGCTATTTTATCATTTTACTTTTTACTTTAAATCTTTAATTTGTCTCTAGATTAAGATGTTAAAACAGTGGTCTCAGCCAGTCTTAATTTTCTAGTTTTCCCAATCACTGTCAACTAAACAGTTCATCTGTCCTCATTGCTTTATGGAGCTCCCTTTATCATATGTCAGAGTTCTTTAGCCTGTTGTGCCCTTGGGTCTCTCTTCTGCACCCCCAATCCATTTGCCTGTCTTTGTGTCAGTGCATATGGGATCTTTTTTTTAATTGAAGTATAGTTAATATACAATCTTATATTGGTTTCAGGTATACAACACAGTGTTTCAACAGTTACCCACAAATTAAATCCTCACCCCAACTAGTGCAGTTACTCTCTGTCAATATAGAAAGATGGTACAGAATCATTGGCTATATTCTCCATGCTGTTTGACCATCCCTGTGACCTAAGACACGTCTTAGTGTCTATGAGTCTACTGCTTTTCTGTTCATTTTGTTCTGTTTTGTTTTCAGATTCCACAAATAAGTGAAATCATATCATATTTATCTTTCTCCACGTGGCGTATTTCACTCAGCAAAATACCTTTTGGGCCCATCCGTGTTGTTTCAAATGGCAGGATTTGATTCTTTTTTATGGCTGAATAATATTCCACTGTGTGTTTGTACCACATCTTCTTTATCTATTCTTCTATTTGATGGACACTTAGGTTGCTTCCATATCTTGGCTTTTGTAAATAATGCTGCAGTGAACATAGGGGTGCACCTTGCTTTTCAAATTAGTGATTTTGCTTTCTTCAGGTAAATTCCCAGAAGTAGAATTACTGAGTTGTGTGGTATTTCTATTTTAGTTTTTTGAGGAACCTCCATACTGCTTTCCACAGTGCCTGCACCAGTTTACATCCCCACCAACAGTGTGGGAGGGTGCCCTTTTCTCCACACCCTCACGAACACTTGTTATTTTTGTCTTTTGGATAGTGGCCATTCTGACTAGTGTGAGGTGATCTCTCATTGTGATTTTGATTTGCATTTCCATGATGATTAGCGATGTGGAGCATCTTTGCATGTGCCTGTTGGCTATCTGTTTCTTTGGAGAAATGTCTATTCAGGTCCTCTGCCCATTTTTTAATCGGGTTATTTATTTTTTTGGTGTTTAGTTGTATGAGTTGATTACTTGGACAAATCATGTACAAGTATATGCTCCCATACCATATAGGTCGCCTTTTTGTTCTATTGATTGTGTTCTTTGCTGTACAGAAGCTTTTTAATTTGATGTGTCCCCACTTTTTCCATTTTTTATTTTGTTTCCCTTACCTGAAGAGATGTGTCTGGAAAAAAATTGCTCATGATTACGTTCAAGAGATTTTTGCCTGTGTTCTCTGTATATGGATTCTTAATGCCAAGCCTTTGTTGGAAATCTTAAATCTGGTAGAGCATTTCTTTTTTTTTCTCTTTAAAGTTGGCCCAGCTGTTTGGAGACCTTGATTTTGTCCTTATAGACTTTAAAGTGAATTTTTCTGGTCAAACATTCAGCTGCTATTTTGGTTGGGATTGCACTGAATTTATAGATCAGTCTGGGGAGAACTGGCCTCTCTATGATGACATCATCCAGCCACAAACAGATATGATCTATCCATTTAACCAGATTGTCTTTTGTGTCTTTTAGTAGATTTTAAAGTTTGTAAATAGAGTCGTGCATTCTTTCTTAGGTTACTGCCTAATACTTCATAGTTTTTGTTACTATTGTGAATATTCTCTTATTTTTTATTTTCTTTTAAATTAGTTAACAATGGGTTAGAGAAATTATTGATTATTGTCAGATAATTTTATATCTAGCAGTCTTGCTCCATTCTTATTAAAGTATAACTTCCTCAAAGTGCACAAGTCATGTGTTTAGCTTGATAACGTTTTACAAAATGAGCACACCTGTGTAACTAGCACCCACATCAAGGAATGGAACCCCAGAAGGAACTCATAGGCCCACCCCCTTCTCATCTTTACCTTAAGCTGAAAGGGTATTCACCTTCCTGACTTCTGTTACCATAGATAAGTTTTGCCTGTTTTTTTCTTTTTAACTTTATCAAATGGAATCATATAGTATGTAATCTTTTGTGTCTGGCTTCTTTTCCTCCAAGGACTTCTAGCATTAAATAGTAGAATGATAAATAATCACCCATGTCTTCTTCCTAATGTTCTGAAATCGCTCTATAATTCCCACCAGTGTTAGGTAGAATGAAAGTTCATTTCTCCACATCCTCACCAACACTGGTATTGTCTTTTTGATTATAGCCAGTAGCCATCCTAATGGGTGTAAAGTGGCATCTCATGGTGGCTTGAATTCGTATTTTCCTAATGACTGATGGTGAGCATATTTCATGTGCTTATTGACCATTTGTATATATTTATGGAGAAATGGCTATTCAGATACTTTGCTCATTTTTTAATTGGGTTGTCTTTTTATTGTTAACTTGTAAGAATTCTAATTTTGAGAAATC